CTTCCTATACCCTGGTAGCCACGATATGCAGCCGGGTTCATTGCACACCATCCTACCCACTCACCCTTGCGAACTTGTCATCAGGGATATTGAGTGGATTACCAAGGAAGCAACCCTTGACTATGTTCCCGAGGTCCCTCAACGGGCCGTCACTTTGGCTTGCACACGAATCAGTCGACTCTGCAGACGTACCCTGCACTAGATGATATATACTAGATCAGACCCCAACCCCAAGACTCTTCGCAGCACTGCCCTTGCGTCTTCAGAGTGCATACTTGCAACGTTTTTGCCCTGCCTGCTTCGGACGAACAGAAGCTGCCTGCATCCTTGCGTCACTTATACAATACACAATTACAACAATCTACCCTTGACACGTAATACTCCTTGTCTGCTGCATACTGCATTGCAGAGCTACACGCAGACTGCCCGTATGAGGTCCCTGTCTTAGCTACATTCCGCTCGTTGTCCTGCTGGGCTACTGCGTGGCTTTTCTTCATAATTCAACGTTTGCATGAACTGACACTGGCGACACAGACTCGGCAACAGGCATAGTGCGCGCACAGCACCTTCAGCCACACAAGGACTGATTCACGACATACCTCGTCAAGGTTCATCCTCACAAGCCCATTGGAAAGATTGCTGTGTAGTCGAATTTGCGTAACTGCAAACGCCACAGATACAACGGCCAAAAACCAAGAACCGACTCCTCGGATCCAGCTGGTCCCTGATCTTCTTGCATTCGCACAATCGCGTCGATTTTGTTAGAAAAAGAGACAACGATCCATTATTTTTACTTTGAGTGTACCTGAGCACTACTGCACAGATACTCCACCAACGTAGGTCAACTTCGTCCTCTTCTCCTACCTACACGACTACTTGAGTAGACTACTCTCTATTTTCCTCTTCCACCCAACTGAGCACAAATTGAATCGTTACACCCTTTACCTGTGCATAATGATTCGAGCCCGAAAAGACACGGCTTTTCGGCTAATGCGCTCATTTCTGGATATCAATTCCGGCGTTGCCTTTATTCCTTCAACCGCACAGTTGCGCGTTTGCATGAAATCCATCTCGAAGACTCTTCCAATCAATGCCTACAGGCTACAACGCTTCTTTCAGGTCATTTCCTGGTAATTTCGCCAAGGTTCATGGGTGTTTCTATTTTTATTGCACCGAATCGCGTATTCACTTTGCCGCATTGAGGCAGAATCTCCACTCAATTGTCCAAACAGGTTCTCTCAGCGCAGGCTAATCATCCCAAAGATATAGTGCGTGAAGCATACTCGATTGTGTCATTGCCTTTCCCGACTACAAGCATTGTGTTTTTCCCCCAGCAAAACGTCGGGAACCGTATATATCAATTACTCACCATACAACTTGAACTTGGACAAGCTGCAGTAGGCTTGCGATCTACACAATACACACAATTAGGTGAGTGCAGCCCCCGGCCTCGACAATTCACGTTATGCGTCAAATGTCCTTCTTTTCCTGTTAGCGCTCGAATGCCGAGACTCTTCATCGTCGCAACATGGGCAGCCCTGGCTACAACATCCATATGCGGGGAATATCAGGACGAACCTCAAGCCATCAGCATAAGCTTGTGACCTTTGTTTTTAAATCTTTCCTTCAACGGCCGCGCCGATATGGGCCGTGCGCAGAGTTCGCTTCACTTTCATGGTTCATCGTTGCGCTGGAGAAATATGTCCTCTGACTGACACGCATCATATCATAGACCAGGCACAGAGCAGGTACCAATCACGAATTATTAGGTTGGGCAGATACGTTTGAAAATGGCCCAACGTCGACACCAGGCTCCAAACCCTTACGTCAAGGAAGAGCAAGGACATGATTCGGTAGGTTATTTTTCTTTTGGTTCGTTGGTACCGATGCCTCTCTGATGGTATATCGTGTTTCTATATTCTCTCATCTCTATTTCATACCCCGTGTACACAATTCTTGTGTGTCGTGCACCTAGTTGCGGGTAGTCCGCGGTTATCGACATCAGATCGTGGTGCCAGACCACGAACACCCAAGCATTCAGCCTCAAGTGTGCCTCTGATGCTTGAAGGGTGGACAAGACCAGGGAACGGGATATCCATGCTGGAGGGGGGACCCAGCAACTACCTGGGCAGGCCGACCTTGGGGACTGGTTTGCAGGTCCCGTCGTTTGCTGGGCGCACGGCATGGTTACGTGGATTCCCCATCGCTTCCAGAAGATCGCAATGCCTGTCGCAAGCTTGCCCATGTTGAACCGGATTCGATGAAAGTGGATCCTCCCAGGGGGCTGGTCTGCTGTTTCACAAGCGGCCGGGGGTCATTCTTCTGGAACAGGGCTTGCGTGGGCCACCATGTTAGCGTCACTCCTCTACGCGCTACCTGCTGGCACACTGTCGCGACTCGAACAGGGGATCGATCACGTCCGCAACTGCATTTGCTGCGTACTGCGTACTGCTCGTCCATGCTGCGCGGCCTCTGCTCTTATCTGCCCACGATTTGATATTGAAAGAGCCATCAAGCCCGATCACGCCTCCTTCGCGTCGAGTCTTGACGCGCCAGACGCTGATGTGCCTCGCAACGTCCGAGCCCCAGGTGGAGAGCAGGAAGAAATGTGGGCTTGTGGGCTCCTTGGGCCTTGCACCACGATGGTTGTGATTCGTAATTCATCCGCGCGGGCGCACTAGCCACACTGTAGTCTTCAATGGCTCGGAACTCTCACAGCTGGCAATTGGGCCATGCGATGGTGTGAGTGCGAAACAGGCGTGGCGGGCGAGCGAGATGAGAAGGCCTATCAGCAACACGCTACCGCGAAACTGCAACAATGAGTAACAAAAACCGTTTTTCTATCCCCTTGGCTCTTGGGTCGTTCCTCTGTGTGGGGCCCGAAAGGTCATGCGGAAGAAGCTTCGATGACGGCAATCTCAATTACATGGCCACCAAGGAACCACTGGCACCTAGGCATATATGCTGTACTAGCGGATTAAGACTACGTACCTTAATTGGTCGAGCAACAGGAGTTGATGCAATGTACTCTGTACTCTCAACGTCGAACTTTCAGTCTGAACTTTCAGTTACCAGACGCATTGTGGAAGACAAAATTCAGCAGCAGCAGCAAGCGTGGCAAGCCCGTAAAAGCCGAATTGCTTTCCGTACTATGTACGTACAGACTTTTCGGGACAGCCAATGGCAGAGATGGTATCTTAACTAGCGGGTCTGTTGGACACGAAGAGCTGAAAAGTCGCTGTTGTAACTTGATCGCAAGCATGACGGCGGTGGAGACTCTACGACCTTTTGGACCTTGGTATCGCCCGGGCCCGCATTCTGCACTGAGGTACTCTGTACAGAGTACAGAGCACTCCACACTAGCTCCCTCCTCCCGTTTCCGCGACAGACGGCCAACAGAGACTGACCTTTTGGGCCAAATCGCCAATACGAATACACTTCCCTGGGCTCTCAAAGCGGTTGGTTGTTGCAAACGTTGTCGCAACGTCCAACTTTCTTTCTCATCAGATGGAAGAAAGATGCAGCATATTCCAATATGAAAGCTGCGAGCGTTGACCAGACAACGAGACATTGCATCTCCTGTCCTCAAGCCATTTTCTTGCTTGTTGAGAAACCAGCAACCGTCTAGCATCTCTCACAGAGGTTTCTCCCACATCTCATGAGATGGAGAAGAAGAAAAAAAGATATTCAAGATGGCCTCGCTATTCCTCTTCGAGACATCGAATGACAGAAGAGTGCACACCCGCCAGCCCCGAGCTGTGGAGCCATGGACAGTCAGACAGAGAACCAACGACTGCCAGTCTGCGAGTCCTTCACACGGCTTGTCACACACCGCCTTGTGTCCGTCGCCCTCCTTCTAGCTCGCGAGAGGGAGCTTTACCCCTGCTCCGCTTCTTAGTCTCGGTGATGATTCCCATTCGAGTCTAAGGTCATCCTCGGCTCTGCAAAAACCGCACTCAATTGGTCTCCTCATTTAAAGCTACAGCTTCTACCCTGCCCCCTGATCACCATTTCCATCTTCACCCCTGGGGTGGTTCGATCAAGTCTTCTTCGCAGTACCTTTCTGTTTTTTTTTTTTTTTTTTCCTTTGGGCGCAATTTCTCTGCTGGGCGATGGCTTGGTTCTGTGCTATGTCTGCCCGTACATCTCAACTGGTATCTTTCCGTCTAAGTCCCAATGCCTTTGCCGCAGGCATCGCACGTCCTTTCTACTCGACCAAACAAGCAGTCATATCGTCTCTGATATATCTTTTGCGTCGGCCAGAGCGTCGCGCAACGGGAGTAGCGGACTGAACGATCATACATCTGCTGTCTCCCCCGTACCTTGGACTCCATTGGAAATCCACAATTCATCCCTACCTGTGTACCTTGTCTTGCTCACCTTGATCCGTACAAGCCCTCAAATATCACCGACCCTGCCCCCCCATCCATCCATCGTTGCAGTCAAGAATCCTCGCTCCGATCTCCAAATCTCTTTGACGCTCTTTTTATCCCTCTCTCTCCAAGGTCCCCTGTCAGGACCCATTCTCTTACCTTTTCCTGGTCACCTTGAGGCATTGTCTCGTCGCGACCCGATTAAGCTTGTAGCTGGTAGGCGATACCTAGTCGGTGAACCTCGATCATCGGGTTTGGCTTCCCGATTACACTCTCATCTACCCACTCCTACCATTCTGGAGGCGCGACCGACTGGAGTGTTTATTTCCCTGGTACCGCTTTTTATTTTTTTTTTCATCTCTCCTCTTTCTTTGGTCCCCTTGTCATTTCGTTGCGGCATGCACGTTCTGGCCCTGGTCTTATATCCCAGCATTTGCTCCCCCCCGTCGAAGGCGCGCCTGAGCCGTTGAACCTCGTCCACCAGCCAGGGCAAGCATGCTTGAGGTTTCCCCAGACCTTGAAAGTTGTCAGAAAAAATAAAAATATCGACGCGTCCTTACATCTTGTCTTCTTGTTCTATAGTCATTGCCTTTGTTTGGCCTCAACAACATATAGAAATCAGTACTAATGGTCGTCGCCTCTATGCAGCATCACCCCCACCACTCGCAGGGTCCTGCGCCGCCTCAGCATCTCCAGCACCCGCGGCCCTCGAGTATAGTGCACCAGCAGCATCATCAGGCGCCTCCGCCTCAGTCACAGCACCCGTCTGCTTACTCGTCCTATCAACCCGCCGGGCAGACGCAGGGAAGCCAGCACGGGCATGCGCAGGAAGGACTTCCATACTACGCTCATCCAAGCCCGTACAGCACACCAGGAACGACGAGCGGGTATCCAGCCGCAGGTCAGTCTACTGAAGCAGTTGCGACGCGTTGAGGGAACGGAATTTGAAGCTGACAATTGTAATAGACACCTCCGACATGATGGCCGCAGCGCAGATGCCGAGGCCGTACCCGCCCATATACCACACACCACAATCCAACTCTCCGGCGTCTGTTGCGTCTCCGTCCGGTCATGACCAGCACCGCAGTCTTTATGGCGCGGCCGCGCCCTCGATTCAGCAGCAGCAGTCAATGTACTACAGCGCGCAACAACCGTATTCTTCGATGCCTCAACAGGCCGCTCCTTCGCCCTATCAGCAGCATGCGCAGCAACCGCAGCATTCCATGACGTCGCAACCCAACATGATGATGTCTCATCCTGGCTCGCAGCACCCAATTCAGCAGCACACCAACCAACACGCGCAACAGGGTCTGAACAGCCCGCGTCACACTAAGATCGAGACGCAGGTGCCTCCGCAGTTGCAAAGACCAGCCTCGGGCCCCCTTGGAACACCCCAGCACAACCAAAACGGTTCAGGACCGCTCTCAACACCAGGTGGCTCCTCGCCCGGTGTCAACCAGAACGCGGCCCCTGGCCCGATCCCAGCTACCACGCCGCTGGTGGTCAGACAAGATAATAATGGTGTGCAGTGGATCGCTTTTGAGTACTCGCGCGATCGCGTCAAGATGGAGTACACTATCCGCTGTGATGTCGAGTCTGTCAACACGGACGAGCTTCCGAGCGACTTCAAGACGGAGAACTGCGTCTATCCTCGCGCCTGCTGTCCCAAGGACCAGTACCGCGGAAACCGTCTGCAGTATGAGACGGAGTGCAACACAGTGGGCTGGGCCTTGGCCCAACTCAACCCTTCCCTTCGTGGAAAGCGAGGCTTGATTCAGCGCGCAGTCGACAGCTGGCGCAACAGCAACCAAGATCCGCGTCTGCGCAGTCGACGCGTTCGCCGCATGGCCAAGATGACCAATCGAAAGGCGGTTCAGACTCCCCATCCGTCACACATGTCCGGCCCCAGTGGCCCGGCAGGGATCCCCGCCCCAGGCGCCATGGGCCCCGGTGGTGGAACGGCCATGGGAAAGCCTGGCATGAGCAACATGGGTTCGCATATGCACCACCACCAAGGTCACTCTGACGGAAACTCCCAGGGAGGTGAAGAAGTCGGTATGTTTCACCAGATGTGATTAATGCGTTGTCGTTGTGTTATTACTTGATACCTCTTACATTTTATACCTCTGTACCTGCTTGGTATTCTTTTTGGACCTGTTATTGTAGCGGCTCATGTCCGCCAAAAGGCGTATTTGTGGAAAACATCTTTTCTTGTTGGAGGCAGGGTTCGGCCTCTTTTGTTTTTGCTCTGTACATTACCTAGTTGCCTTGCATTTTAAAGCCCTCTGCCTGGCGATCCCGGACACAGGAGCATTGCATCGCATCCCGCTGCTCAGGGAACCAAGACGCAAAAGTCATTGCATAGCAAAATTCCTTCCTGTACTGCAAACTATCCTGTCGTCTTCCTCTGCTTTTTCTGAGTTGTTTTGGTCAACACTGCTATCCTTGAATCATCTGGAAAGAGAAAGAAAAATATTAAAAGACCCCTGGCTAACCCACCTTGTCTTTTTACAGGGGATGGAGAGTACATGGACGAAGGTCACCACCACCACCACCAAGCCCCATCCGGCCCCGGTTCCGGTCACGGGGATGATGTTCGCCAGGCCCAGGTCTTTTCTGGGTACCCCCAGCCATACCCTGGCACCTCCGCTTCCGGACCTGGCATGCCACACTCATCCCACCACAACGCCATCGCCGCGCGCCACAGTACCAGGGACGACGACGAAGCTCCGGAAGGCCTGTTCCCTGACATTCCCGACGCCAAGAAGCGCAAGTTCATCTTGGTCGATGACAACAAGCGCGGAGGTCGTCTCCGTGTTCGTGTAACTCTGGAGAATGTAGACACCAAGGAGATCCCTGATTCTTTCCGCAAGAGTTCCTCAGTATTTCCTCGCAGCTACTTCCCGCGAGAGATGCAGTCCCCACCACCAAGTGCTACTGGCAGCCGCTTCTTTGAGAATGATTTGGAAGACGACGACGTTGAGGTAGAGGGCGGCCGCACCGGACGCTCCAGAGCTGCCGGCCGGGTCATGGTCAAAGTCCCGTTTTCAGATGGATCCGAGGACCAGATTGCCATCCCCCGTACCCGCAAGAGCACCCGGGGCAAGGAGGTTCGGTTGAACGATCTCGGCTATCGCATGGCTTGGTTGCAGAGCCGTGTCTTCTCTGGCAGGACTATCTTTTTGCAGAGAGCCCGTACGTTTTCAATCCGCTGCTGCTTCACGCCATGTGCTTTCAGTGACTAATATTTTCAACAGTTGACTGCTACCGTAACAAGACGCGTAACGCTATCGAGTCTGTGATGCAGGATGTCAAGACGACTGCACCTCACTATGAGACTCGTGTTGGCAAGCGGAGATGGAGCGAACGCATGCGCCAGAGCACCGACAAGCGCGATGACGAGTAATGGAAGAAGGAAAACGCACCTCGCCTGGTCATGCTTGTCACAACGATGGCCGCGCCATCATTGTGTGTGCATGCGCCAGCAAGTACAGGATTGATCACGACCACACTTGCGTGTATATGAGTGCCTGGGCGTTCCTTGCGGGCGCTATGCACTCTTTTCACGACAAGATACGACGTCAAAATGGAAACGCGCGCAGGGTTTGTATGATACACGCTTTGGTCGCCTAGTTGTGGCCGTTGTTTATATGAGTGGTAGACTTTGACGGAGCAGAAGGGGGAGTAGGTGGTGTCCCCACTACTTCCCTTATTTGACAACAACGACAAGGGCAACGACAAAAAGGGAGAGATTCGCATTCTTGCTGTCCATGCGTTAGAGCAATGGTCAGCCTTTTGCAACCACATGTTTATTAGCGTTGGTCGGATTTGGTACATAGATGGATCGTTTGTGTTTTTTGTGCTTCTTTCGTTTGTTGCTTTGCTTCTTGGACGATGGTGTACATAGATGGATTGCTCAGGGCTTTTTGTTTTCATTTCTTCTAGTTGTTGCTTCTCTTCTTCGACGACTACCCCTAGCATTCTCATTGTCAAGCAATTGAGCGGCTCGGCCACGATTTCGGATGTGATACCACGGCAGCAGGGAAAATTGGTGGGTTGTCTTCTATTTTTTTTTAAGGGTCGAATCTTTTATGTCAAATTCTTCATTGGTTGACACTGAGTCTTAATGCATTGAGGAAATAAAAGAAAGTTTGTCTTGATTCTGGCGGCATTGCACATTGCTCCGACTGGTGATGACTTGGAATGTGAAAAACTAAAAATCAATAAATAACCTTCTCTCTTTTTTTTTTTTTTTTGCCCATCATGTGAAGGGAGGGAGAGACCCTGATGACCACCTTTCTAGGACCATCTTTCTAGAAGTATTATTAGCCTATTAACCTACTAATTCATAGTACCTACTTACCTTAGGTACTACCTAGCCAGGTACAGAGTATGCAGGAGGAACCTGGTGCCTGGCTACATTAGGTCCCTGGCCTAAAAGTATAGGGATGAACTGGGGGACGTCGGGGGTGGGGTATTATGACATTACCAGGTTGCACACAGTTTGGTTCGTTGACGACTCAAATACGTAGTAGTAGCATTGCCTAATTGCTTACCTAGTATAGTTTATACCTATCCCGCATCGAAAAAAAGAAAAAGAAAAAAATAGCGCGACTATAAATTGTCTGTGCAATGTATACCCACGTGCTGGCTGGGGGTGTTACTGCCCAGGCAGACTGTCGCCAAAGCGCCACATGCATACTAGGTATACGTATCTTTCGCGTGGCTTGCACGTGGGTTTTTATTTTGTGGTTTTCGCTCTGATTTATACGAGGCGGCATTACGTGCATATATTAACTAGCCAGAATCTGAACTGCATTTTCAAGACAAAGTGTCGGTTTTTTGAAGTATCTGTCGAAGTTTGGGCACATGTTCATGATGTAATAAGTATAGGGAAAGACGTCTGGCAGCATCAAAAGATCGGTAAGAGGAAGAATCAGTACTCTGTAGCTATCAGCCGGTCGATGAGGCTCTGGTATTTTTTCACTTTCTGGATATTATTTCCGGGTCACTCATTCTTCCCGGGTCTACGAATTTCAAAGCATAACCAATCAATTCCGACTTGAGAGCTACAAATCTCATGTTCCAAACCGCCACTATCTCGAAATACAGTGTCGTGGTGAGCGCTTGTTGATTGGTTGAAGGTGCATAAGCATGGCCCAGTGTCCCAATGTCAAATTGGCTAGCCTGCTGCCTTCAGGACCAGGCTTCTTGTTATGCTTGCCCCTCATCGCGAATTTCTCTCGATAAGACTACTTACTACCTCCAATATGTCCTCATGGATTGGCACGATAGTTCATGCCGGCGACTCGATCTCGCCGATTTTGGCGATGGCATGTGCTGTATGAGATGTGGATCAATCCGTCCAACGCACCCCATCCTACCACCCATACACAAATCCGAGATCAGACTGCTGCGCCTCTTACCAGGAGTCTTTGATGATGGCGTCGAGTGCGAGATTGTAAAGGCGGAACTTTGCCTGTTGCCCGAGTACGAGGCCATATCGTACACTTGGGCAGACGAGACGGGGGATGCTAGCCACTGCCAGACGATTTCCATATCCGGCAAGCCCTTCCTGGTTACTAAGAATTGTGAGATGGCACTGAAGCGGGTTCGAATGCGCTACTATACACGGGTGATCTGGATTGATGCAATCTGCATTGACCAGGACGACATTCAAGAACGTGGCCACCAGGTTGGCATCATGCCACAGATTTATTCTCAGGCCAAGGGCGTCCTAATGTACATTGGGGAGCAATCGTCGTCGTCCGGTGATATGGGCCCAGGAACCGCCGGGTTTCTTTCCAAAGATTTAAAGTCGGTCGATACAATCTGCTGGCCTGCTCTATTATCGACAAGGTACTTTACGCGGCTCTGGATCCTCCAAGAGGTTGCCCTGGCCCGTCGAGCCACGCTCATGTGGGGTGGTTTTTCCGCGGCCTGGAGCTCTATTCTTGAGAAGATGGATTTCCTGATCACGGAGAAACTCCCGCCGGTTTTTCATCGCTTCGACTACAGGACCTTTTCTGGCCCAGACCAAATCCTGAACCTCCTGCTCGTGGCACAATCTTGCAACGCCTCCGACCCGCGAGACAAGATATTCGCACTCCTTGGACTGCTTCCGTCTCGTCGCATAGGAGATATAGAAGCGGACTACAGCATCGAGGCTCGAGAAATATACATCCGGGTCGCCGTATATCTTGCCTCAAACATTGATTGGCTGCAAATCTTGTTTCATGCCGGCACAGAGGCTCACGAGGGTGGACAAGTCCCCGGGCTGCCCTCGTGGGTTCCAGATTGGAGCGCCCCCGTGGCCCAAAAGGTCCACTCGTATACTATTCGATCCCGAATCCAAGCAGGAATTGCGCCATTGATTGATGTACTTCCAATGACATTTGCGTATAATGAATCCGAGAAGAGCCTCAACGTGAGGCTTCTCCGTACGCCACATAGGGCACACGAATGGCATGCTTGGACGGAAGAGCTCTCGGTACCAGAAGACCCTTGCCTCTGGTTCCCATTGGTCACTCGGACATCCTTGTTCGAGTCAGTCAGTGACATCAGATCAGACTTTTGTAGAGAGTATAGCATCGAGGACAGCGAGTCTAATGACAGGGAGTTGTGCTTGACCAGTCTGAAGTTTGGCCGTGAGTGAATCCCCAGTCCAGCTTCGCCATCCCCCCGAGATGGCAAAAAAAGGGAAAAAGAAATCAAAGAAAAATGACCATCACTGACATGTACACGACGCAGTGAAAAAGATTAATGGATCTCGGTACACTCTCACGGGGATACCTGAGCAGTACACCTTTCTAAACGAACATCAAGGCGTGCCCATAACCTCGGCTGTTCAGTTCTTGACAATGACTTTGAGTTTTAAGAACCTGAAAACGATACTCAGACTAGCTCGGGACACCCTCCATACTCCTACATCTTACTGGTCAACCAACTGGGACAATGTTGTGGAAGTTGTGCACCTTGTTGAGGAGCTTGCCAGTCTGTTTGAGCCCTTGCAGGACCAACGACTTGAGCAGCTGTGGATGACAAAGTTCATGGCGGGAGAGCTCATTGCACTAGACAAGACAACCTTTTTCAAGGACGACTCAGACACCATTGCCCCGGACGATACACAGGAGCTGATGAAGAGATTGAATGATGCATTATGGTGTATGATGGTGCGTTGTTTCTCCATAAGAGAAGAGACTATAGAGATTGTGTAGATTCGAGCCCACAATACCTAATGTTTATACTTTGAGAATAAAAAAAACTTGATACTTATAAGGCCAGAGGCCTCCAGTCTTGTACCAGTTACCTTCGGGAATAACTGGGAGTCAAATTGAAGTGAACGAATGTGTTATTCCTAGCTACGAAGCCACGAGATTGATGATCTTAAGGTTTCATCTCTCAGTCTACGTTGACAAAGTGAAGCTATGGAAAAGTGTGATGAAGTAAAGAGGACGGAAATCTATTGCAGCTGTGGGGGAAATTTAGGTATTAGTATGGTGCCTATGTAGCACCTACCAATCAATACTCATGAGGAGCTCTCAGCTGTAGCCATTTCATCGGGCAAATGCAAATTATGGCTCATGTCACGATTCCGGCGAATACGGTAGTGCCCGAATCCCTCCAAACGCCCCTGATACTGGACGAGAGGGTCCTGCATACCTTTGTCGTCGTCGTCGTCGTCGTCGTCGTCACAAACCGACAAGCCAGACTACACCGTCGCCATCAACATGTGGCACATGCTCCTCCACTCAGCCTTGCTCCCAATTATCCAAACCTGCCTGGCGTCACGGCAATGGACAAGATGGATGGCTTCCGCCAGTAAAAACGTTGAAATCGGGTAGAGACATGCTGCTGCCTTCTGCTCTGGTCGAGTATACGCTTCATCTTGAGCCGACCGCGCATCGCCTGCGTAACTCCCATCATGAACACCTGTCTCGATCAGGCCAAAAAGGCTTCCAACGAAGGCGCAAAAAAGTCTGCCGAGGTCACGGGAGTTTGATCTTGTGCACATATGACTTCATGGGAGGCGACATTGTTTTTAAGTCTGTCATTGCTACTTTGTTGAGATGATATCTTGTTGAGATTGAGAAGGTGATTTAGGCAGGCAGAATTCAGCAGCTCGCGGAATAAAACACAAATCTTTTCAAGTCATGGTTTTGACTACTGCCTACCAACGGGCTGTTTTGGGGAAGACAGTATTGGAAGCCAAGATGGACGTTCAAGAATAGTCGAATATGCAGACGCAAGGGTGTGCGCACGTGTTTCCCAGGCATAAACATTTCTAGGTTCCGGTAAAATGCCCTGATTTGATGGGCGAAGCTTTGCCAAGTAATCGGATCTGCAAGATACTTCGACTCATGGCCTCGGCGACAGGACCAAATATGAGCGTTGAAAAACTTTGATATACACGTGTACATGAGAAAAATTGCGTGATTGAAGTTTTTGATATTTAAGACTCTAATTTTACAATCACTCAAGGTAATCAATCGTGACAGGTTGATGTGGATGACAAATATGAATACATTATCATCGGTGAGTGAAAGTATGTACAAAGAAGGTGGTCACCAGGCCACATTACAGAGATATGAGAGTCATTCATATCTCAAAAAGAAGAAGAAGAATTCCAGCTAGCACGCTCCTCCCATCGTTGGTGCTGCCCATTCAGAAAACAAGAAATCATCGCCACAACATGCAAGCAGCAGTCGCTTTGCATGTGCACACAAAAAGCGGCCCCCCACAACATCTAGCAAGAGCTCAGAGTCTTGTAGACGCAGTGGTCCGAGATGCCGCTGCTAATCTCCTTGGGCTCGTTGCCGGGCGTGGTGCCCTGGTACTCGACGCAGACCTTCTTGACCGAGGTGGCGCACGTGTTGGTGATGGTGGCCACGTCGCCGTAGTTTGAGTTGATGCCGACGAGCGTCTTGCCGTTGTAGGCCTTGACGTTCTTGACGACGACGTTGCGCTCGCCCATCTTCTTGCAGTTGCCGCACGACCGGTACAGCTTGCCAAAGTCCATGACGGTGAAGCCGTCAATGGTCACGGTGCCCACGCCATTGTGCTGGATCACCTTGTCGTCGGCTCCGGTAGCACCACTATGAAGAAACGTTAGCGATTGCTTCTTGAATAAAAAGGAGCATAAACGAAGAGCATCTAATGATAAACAGGCAGAAATATAAAAGACTCACCCGCCCTTGATGGAGGCGTTTCCGTCACCCTTGAGGGACAGAGCGTCCTCGCAAACGGCCGACCACCAAACGTTCTCAATGGTGCAGCTGCCCTCGCAGTGGACACCCTCGATCTGGTCCTTGCCAATAATGGCATTCTTGAGGGTGGCACCGTCCTTGAGGATGAAGACGGCGTCGCTGTCATCGCCCTCCTCCTGGCCGGTACCTGATAACATGTATTAGAAGGGCTCTTTGATTCTTGTTCGACGCACTCGGGATTTTTGTTCGGTATACTAACAGGTGACGCCACGGCCGTAGGTCTTGTAACCACCGTCAAAGGTTCCGGAAATGGTCTTGGCGGAGGAGTAAGTTACTGTAACAACCAGAGTTAGCAAATGATCCCGTCAACTTGTTGCAAAATCATCCCCTGTTGAGAATGTTTGTCGTTTTGCAGAAGAGTTCTTTCTTTTCGACAGCCAACATCCTTCCCACCATCATCATCATCTGAAGTGGTAACTTACCGGAGCCCTTGGAAGAAGGAATAGGGAAGCTGGCACGCTTGTCGAGAGCGGCCATGGTGTTGGGGGTGACATTGCCAGCAGGCGTGGCCAGAACGGCAGTGGAGGCGCCGAGCGCAGCGATGATGGCAGTGTACTTCATTTTGGAAACGAGGATGAGTCGAAAGAAGAACTTGATTCAAAGAACTTGACGATGATTCTGGGCTGAGCTGTTGTGGAAAGCTGAATGATAGTAATTTGCTGCTGGAATGAAAGTGAATAACCACCCGGGTTCAAAGAATGTGATTGTGAATCGAGGAAAAAAAGAGAGTGAGAGGATTGTTGATGCTGAGGAAAGGGAAACATGAAGCCTATCTCCGGAGACCATCACGGATCTTATATACATCTTTTGTCGATTTCTCAGTACGACCTCCTTTACCTAGATCCATCCATTCCCATCTTACCAAAAACCGAGTATTCCATGGCCCTCGGCTCATCTAGCTAGCGCCTGCGGCCGTATAGCAATGAACGGGCCAGGGAAATCCCTACAAACATTTTCTTTCCAGGCCGTTCTACCTACTCACCGTTGGTAACACGCTCCCGGTTGGTGGTCCCGATCATGGTCCTGCCAAGAGGCTGGGCAAAAAAGGCTTGTCCTTTATCATTGCAGAGCATTTCATGGCCCAGAGCCTCACTGATTAAGCTCGTATGAAAGCTTCTAGTCAATCTTACTCTTCATCTGGCGGAAACCATCCTCTCGCCTTGGCACCTCCTTGACTTGACCATATGCGGCTCAAGTGGTTCAGCCTCTGGCCGGACTCCGTGGGCTTTAGTGGCTAGCTGGTACTGTAACCCAAGCGTCGGATGCTACCGAGACTATGATGAAGGAGCCTTTTTTTTTTCTTGCGCCGATTACTTAAACACTCTTGGTGGAGACGGGAGAAGAATGCCAAGATGAATGATATCCACATAACACAGCAGCAAACATGATCCCCAAAAAACAACAGTGACACTAGGACCTCCTGGTTCCCATTTCTTGCCTTTCCACAATAACAAGTCCCAAAAAGGCAATGGACCCTCTTTGATCCCGTTACATTGTCTGACTGATTGGGCGGAAATGAGTTTCTCCAGTTGCCAAGTTGGTCGACATGCGGGTGTCTTTCAACTTCAGACGGCCCTGACAACCTTAATTCCTTGGCAGGCCCGATAACGCCGGGGGTTTGTTGGTCATCTCAAGCCAGCCCGAGCCCAGAACGAGGCCGAGCCTCTCCCCCTAAAATCCGGTAAACGCCCGGGATCATGATTCATTCAATAAGATGGAGGACCAGCATCGTATCCAGTGCAACGTGGATCTCAAGCATAAAGTTAACTTTAACCGAGGAATTGTAGAATTTCTCGAAGAGGCTCATTCTCTTCCATCACCTGAGTGAATCCACTCTAGGAGACACTGCAATTGTCTTGGCGATGGGGTCATGTCATGCCAAAGACCAGTTTTTTTTCTCTCCCCTTCATAGTCTTGCAGCCGCCACACCTTCGCAAAGCTGGCATCGTCCCCATTATCACGAACTTTTCCATCTCCAGCGTTTCAATGACAAATGTTCCTGCGGACCGTGTCTCCGATTGCCCAAAACAACATCAAGTGCAACTGTAAAGGACAAGACTTCTGGTGGGACTATGATTAACAAGAACAAACCTGTTAGCAATCGACAAACTGAGTGGATCCAAATGATCGGCCGTGGGATTTCTAGTCTTGCAGAACCATACACATGGAGTTTTCTTTGTCCGCGAGTACTCACAGAGTCCTGTAAGTCAAAGAGTTCACACTAGAGAAGAACATGCCTTTACTGTGGATTATACCTGACTTGTCATTGAGATGGGCAGTTCATCTATCCTATAGACATGGAACCCAATACCACAAACCTAAACGTGCCGAACACCTAGCTCAGTGATTTTTCATATCTTGTCATCTTCTATCAACAGGATTGCATCCCTCGACGGGGTGCAAGACCAAATCGAAACATCTACAAATTTTGCACTCGGGAAATGCCAATGACATCAGAGCCACCAGAAGAACAGAACAGCCCAACGTACATCGATCAGGGCAAAAGCAAGAACTCTTCCACGAAGAATAAAGACCCGGAACCAATGTCCTCGACTCCGTGCAAGTGAGGTACAAGTTGAGCCCCAACAAGACTGCCGCCAAAGAATCAGCACTACGTGCAATGATCTATGCCTTGGGAGCATCTGTCTGTCGCTTGCTAAGGGATCTCCAAGGACCTTTGCGCTGGTGAGGTGGGAGGTGACTCTGGTCCTCCTCATCGTCTTCAATGGCGTCGACACCAGTCGGGCCAACCTCAAAGTTTGGAGTGACCACCTCTTTCTTGGGAGCCAAAGACTTCCAAGGACCCTTACGTTGATGGGGCGGGAGATGACTCTGGTCGTCGTCATGGCTCAGAACAGAGTCGCCCTCGATTTCGCTGGGCTTGGGTGCGGTCGGGACATTCTCTGTCTGCACGGTAGAAACATTGCGCGAGATAACTCTCTGGTGCGGGAGAAGACGGCTTTGGCCATCATCATCAGCACCCTTTGTGGAGTTGATCTCTTTTGCGGCAGTTTGGCCCGTGATAGCAGCCTTCTCCTCCTCTCTGTCTGAAGGTGTCTTGGAACAAGATCGCTGCTGAGGAAGCAGATGGCGCTGGTCATCCTTGATGTCATTCTTAGACTCAACCTTGATTTCAGCAGGCTGAGCTGCAAGATGAGCATTATCATCGCCTTGCTTGGAAGATGCGACGCGGATTCTCTGATGAGGAAGCAGCTTTCGCGAATGATCTTGCTCATTGCCATCCTTGGTGTTGGCCTCGATGACATCAGGCTTGGTCGTAGTACCAGTGGTCTGTTCGTCCGACACAGGAGCGGAAATGCGCACTTTGGGAGCATTGAGAGGCTTCTCTTGTCGAGACAGGTCCATGTTCTCGGTTGAAGCGACCAGGGAGGCAAGCACTCTCGACGACATGTCGTTGACCGACAGCTGCGAAGAATTCGTAAGCTTCGGTGCGAATGTGCGAAAGATCTCGCCGGGGATGAATGTATTTACCAGTGGCGAGAGATTGCTCTGACGTGCCATTTCCGATCTGGCAAGGCAGAGCTTGCTCCAAGTTCGAGAAAGCTCGCGAACCTCTGGATCTGAGGAAAGGAGGTCGGTTTGGCTCGTCTTCAGCCTCTCGATGACTAGATTTAAACATTAGATTCATCAATGGAGAAAGGGTGTTCGTCCTTACACATGTTGAGAGTCATGACTCCGGAATCTAGACTAGAACCAGTCTCCCGAACACGAGCAGCCATTACATTAGCAATGTAAAAGACGGGTTTGTGCAAGAAAATAAACAGTCCCCTCGGACGGTCGATGTGTCGACCATGAGGCATGCCAGGGTGAGGGAATTTCTCCAAAATGAGAGACCATATGTTTCTGGTATCCTTTTTCTCACTCGAGCTCTGGCAAGCCTCCTCACACCAGTCCCGGCAGCGAGTACCAGTACGGTCAGGCAAAGAGCGGAGATGCTTGGCCATGAAATCACCAAGCATGACCAGAGACATTCGATGCTCAAGAGTGTTGAACAGAACGCGACAATCCTCCTCGTCCGTGTCTGCAGCGCTCTTGAGCTGCTTGTAGTGCTCCTCAAGGTTCTTCACATTGTTCGAGCTGTAAGCTGCGGATAGCAAGCCCTGCTTGAACATGTGCTCAATATGGTTGAGCTGTGACTTTCTATTACCGCCAAAAGCATTACCCAGGAACACGAAACCGTCGCCAGACTGAGTCTCGGTGGCATCAACTCGGTTGAGCCTGGACCATTGTTGAGCCAAAGTGGTAAGAGACATGCCCTTACGAGCGCCGATGAGAGACCAAGAATCACCCTCACGAGTGAAGCGAAACTCATGTCCCTTGGCCGAAATGAATCGACCTGACAGACAGGCATAAATTCTGGCATGGAGTTTGGATTCGATAGCCAGCAACTCGTCAGTCTTCATGAGGGGAATAGTAAGCTTGTTTGCGGTCTGGTCAGTCAAGGCTGGCGACGATTCGCTGAGAAAGCGCTTGGCCAATTCGGAGCCGAAGACAGCACCACATTGATGGCCCATCAAGGCGTTAAGTTTGGCTTCAGTGGAGACAGTTATAGGACGGCCAAGGCACGGGTTGACCTGCCAGCCAACAGAGGTGATGGAGGGTGAAACCAAGACAACTCGCACATCGAGACTAGCAACGGCTGTGATGGCTCCACTAGTGATGGTCGTGACAATGTGTCGATTTTTCTCAAGCAAAATGTCCTGTTCAAGTGAGGTGAGGCCGCAAACGATGACAACAAGAGAGCTATCATCTTTGCGAACCATCTCAGCCTTCTCGGCCAAGTTCTTCATGAAAATGCCATGGAGCGCATGAACATTGCGCTCGACAATGATGGGACGGTTTGAGTCGAGAACAGCAGGGCTGACGTCGCGACCGGAGTGAGTATACTTGTGCTTGCGAACAGCATCGTCAATATCAATCAAGGACAGCCAGACCTGATCGTCGGGAAAGGTCGAAAGATTGGCACTTGAAAGAGTAATTTTCAGTAATCAGCTTCAAAGGCATTCGACAGAAATTAAAACCAGAGGAAATAATTGGTTCCCAAGATGCCACACATTGGCGCCTGTGGTAACATGTGCTTCGAGCCAATCTACTTCAGGCAAGTCGAGGGCGGGGTTGGGGTTTACTTACAAGAGATGCTTCCAGCCGAGAAAGTCAGCAACATGATGACCAAGATCGTCATTACCTTCACGACCGGGGGGCACAGTGCAGATGCCAACGATGGAGGCATCTTGAGGGATGTCGGGTGGGTGGCACGATACAATCGTGATATCGGGAAGGCCGAGCTGTCCGTGAGGAGGCTCGGGCTTCGTCAGGCGGTCTGCCACAGTGGCAGAAATCGCCGACGATGTCATTTTTGGTGATGGCGGCTGCGTACTAAGGCCGCAATGAGGGAGTGTCTCGTCTGATATCTGTCTCGGGGTCGCGGTCAGTTCTCTGATGAGTTTGATAAAGGCCGCGCGAGACCTTGGTGGCAAAAGGACCGCGTCATCCAACGCAGATGCGAGAATCCAAAATGAAAATTGAAAGGTACGAAGAGGCTGATGAACTTACGGACGGATTCTAGATGACGTGAGATGTCAACCACGACCTGAAAGTAGATACCTCAAGTGGCGGGTGCTTGAGGTGGTGAGGTTGAGAGGAGAAGGTTTCGAAAGGTGGGAAGCTGGAATCAGAGGGGAATCAAAATAAGACAAAATCGAAAAGAGCGGAGACCGCAAACGCAGCTGGCCTTGCCCTTGCCCTGCGGCTTGTAACTATGCGGCTTCGTGGATCTTGAAACGCGGCTGAAGACGACGGGGATGGTGTGAAGTCGACGATGAGCGAACGTCTACTGACCGGTACTCTCTTTCGAAGGTGGGAGCCTCCCAGCAAAGAGGAATGATGCAATCAACAGCCAACAAAACCAGCTGTTCTTCAGTAGGACTGAGGGAAGGAACAATCTAGGAAAGCACATACTCACTCGTGACAAGATGAAACAGGCAAGAACGAAACAGTGTAGTTTAGTTTCACATTTGGACTCTGAGATGACTCGAGGGAAGCCTGAGGGTCGTATATTGTGCACAGCTTGGACTGCCACTACTATTGTAGCCTGCAGAGGTCGAGGTTGTCCTATTTGTTTCTCAGATGTTGACATTATGTTCGAGGGGCTGGCAAAATGAAGAACAATAGCCGAGTGGATTCAAGCAGCACTGATCTATTAGATGCAAGAATTTCTCCAGGTGGTATTGCGCAATGAATTATCTGCACATGTCACGTCTATCTAGATTACCTAATGTGACCTGTCTCCCTGGTTGCTAGGTCCTGATGCCATATATCGTGAAGACGAGAACTCTAACCACTGCCTTTGTTTCTAAACGGTGGACAGATCATTGTGGTCACCAAACCCACGTGGATGATGTCTTTATCTTGCTCGTGTCGGCATAGCAACACTCAAAGAAATGCCTCTGATTTGGCTCGTACACAAAGGACCTCCCCCACACAATGAGAGCAGAACAAGAAAACATGACAAGAAACCTTCTTCCCAAGTTCCTCCCTGGACAGATGTTCGTCATGTAGGAAACAGATACGCGTGACGTCTGACAGATATAGCCACTCAATTCACCAAGACCTCATTCGAGGAAGACGGCTTGCTCCGATTCAAGTCCCATCTCCAACACTTCATCATACCACGGGGGTTCCAAAATGGCAACTTGTGTAATATGTTCAAATCCATGTTCCGAGATCCCAAATGTCCGTCGACCCATGTGCAGCTCCTGCACAGATGACATGAAGAGGCGCAAGGAGCGAGTAGTCGACCGGGTGAGACACACGACACCTAGCCAAGGGAGACCGCAGACGGCCAGTAGAACGCTGAGTTATGAAAGCCAGTGAGTAGGCCACAGAACCAACATATTTCTTCAGATTATCGAAAAATTGTTTCAAGTTCTTTTCTCTTTTTTTTTCTTTTTTCTTTTTGGATGTAGACTAAGTTGATTTGATGTAGAAATAGCGGCAATCGTAACCGAGCCGGAAGTTACGATACATATAGAAAGGGGAAGCTGGAGTCAGATAACAGAAAGAGCTGGGATCAGAAAGAGGTAGATTATTTGAAGAACAAAGTAAAACACAAGGAAGATAAGAGACAGAGCCTTATAGACAAGATCATTGGAGTGGTCATTTGTCGGTAGAAATGGATGGAGAGCTTATATTGATCGATTACCTCGGTGTGCTGTAGTTTCGGCTCTGTAGGCTGCGTATATTGACGGCGCAAATTCAGCTCCAAGCCCACAGAGTACAAGGCCGAATACACTTTTACCACATGACAGATATGATTCAGTAGATGACAAGAAATAGAATTGCAATAATCTCGCTCGCTAAAAGTGGCTTATGCTATCAAATCCTTCCCACTTGCCCTTCCGACTTTGGGAATCACGGAGCAGAGGTCAACTCCTTCTCGACAGCCACCTTGACCGTCTGAATGATATCAAGCGCCGACTCACCAAGCGAGAAATCGTACTGACCCGCTGGAACCACCCACTGGCCTCTAGACTCGTCAAAGAAACCAAGATCGCGGGCAGCCACTGCCAAATCCACCGTCTGCGTCTGGCCCGGCTCGAGTCGAATCTTCTTGAAAGCCACCAGTCCTTTGATGGGGTGCTCGGGGCTCGTGGTGGCATTACCGGCATACAGCTGGACCAAAGTGCCACCTTGCGTCTTGCCCGTGTTGGTGACATTGACGCTCGCAGAAAACTCGGTCTCGGATTTCCTAGAGACGCGCAGACTGTCCGTTGCAAACGTCGTGTACGACAGACCGTGTCCAAAGGCGAAATTGACCTTGTCGCGCCCAATGCGATCATAGTGGCGGTAGCCTACAAAGACGCCCTCTTTGTACTCGACCTTGAGCTGGCCATTGACGTACTCGCCGGGAAAGTTACCATACGCTGGGGCATCCTCGAGTCGCTTGGGGAAACTCATGGGGAGTCGGCCTTCGGGGTTAACGGCGCCAGTGATCACATCGACAATGGAGTTGCCGCACTCCTGTCCGGGAAAGCCGGCGTGGACCAAACTGGAAACCTGTTCCAACCAAGGCAGCGCAATGGCGACACCCGTCGAGTTGATGACCACAGTGTTGGGATTCACCTTGGCGACCGCGCTAATGAGGGCATCTTGAGTGCCCTTGCGTGGCAAGTTGAAAGATTCTTGGTCCTGCCCCTCTGTCTCCCACTGAGGATCGTGGCCGGTAAAGACAAGGGCGTAATCTGCATCCTTGGCTAGGGCAACTGCCTCACCTTGCAGATCAGCATCGTGCTCAGAAGCCAGTTGCAGGCCGAGACGAACACCACTGCGGCCGTTCAAAATCTCTAGACCAGGCACGTCGATAGGAGGCAAGCTGCGAACTCTGATGCGGTAGGCGTTGCCGGCGGTGAAGGGGTAAGTGAACTCATCCTCGGAAATTGCCCCAAACAGGAAACCCATGGCATCAGGAGAAGCTTTCTGTTGGTCATAGACAAGCTTGTCATTGACGTATACCTGGGTGAGGCCCAGGCCAGTGCAACCCAGGTAGTGCGATCCGCTCTCAGTCGGCGTGAAGTCGCCGACGAACTCGAGAATCTTGTAGAGGGTTGCCTTGGATCCAAGGGGTGAGATGGAAGACGACGGGTGGCCATGAGTGGTCTCTTCGATTGCTTGGGTGGCATTGTCAAAAACCTGCAGGGTAAAACCAGGCTTGCCATCCAGGCCGACTATAGAGCCGGCAGACTTGTCTTCGCCAATGGGCAACAAGATGCGCTGAGTGTGTGCACCTTGGGAGTATACGAGCTCGGCAGAGTCGCCGACTGCCTCTTGCAAGGCGTCCCAAGGGGCAATCTTGTAGTGGGCGTTTACACTGGCGCTGCCACCACCGTGGGCAAGCGGAGTCTTGGCCAGGCCAAAGACAGCAACCTTCTTGCCTTTGACCTTGTCTTTGCTTAGCGGAAGAACTCCGTTGTCGTTCTTCAGCAGCACACAGCCCTTGGCTCCGGCCTCTCTAATGAGAGCTTGGTGCTCGGGCTTGTTGATGGCCTGCTCAGGCGGGATCGTAGGGTCCTCGAAAGCCTTCAGCCTGTCGATGAACTCGAGCACTGCCCTAGCTCGATCATCAATGGCGCGTTCCGTCGTCTTGCCTTCCTTGATAGCGGCAAGAACATCGGGAATCTTGCGCCGATTGGTAGGTCCGGGCATTTCCAGGTCGAGCCCGGCATTCAAGGCCTCGGCCGTCGAGTTGGTACCACCCCAGTCACTCATGACAAGACCTTTCCATCCCCATTCTTCCCTCAAGACTTTAAAGTTGAAGGCATTAGAGTCGCAATGCTCGCCGTTGACACAGTTGTAAGCAGTCATGACTGCCCATGGCTTGGCTTCCTTGACGGCAATCTCAAAAGGTCGGAGGTAAATCTCACGCAGAGCTCTCTCACTAATGGTCTCATCTACCGACATGCGCTCAGTCTCCTGCTCGTTGGCAGCAAAGTGCTTGATTGTGGCAGCGACGCCCTTGGACTGAACACCCTGAATGACCTGGGAGGCAAGCTTTCCGGAGAGCAGCGGGTCTTCGCTGAAGCTCTCAAAGTTTCGGCCACCTAGAGGGTGGCGGTGTATACATGTGGTAGGAGCAAGAAGACACCGGGCTCCTTTGCTCTGAGTCTCTTCAGCGAGAGCTTGGCCAATGCGGTTGGCAATGTCCAAGTCGAAGGTAGCAGCAACATTGCTGGCGGCGGGAAAGCAAGCTGCTCTTGTGCCGCCAGTGAAGTCGGCACCTCGGGCTCCATTGGGGCCGTCTGAAGTCTAGTAGTCCATTAGCACATGGAGTCAGTGTAAACATGAAGCCCATGACTACCAACCTTAATATGGGGCACCTTGCCAGGAACTGGTACCGTTTCCCAAAAGTTTTGACCCGCGAGAAGGGAGATCTGGGGATGAGGTGTGAGCAGATACTGTATCTAGTGGTTCATCGAATGTGCTGGCCATGTGAATGCCTACCTTCTCCTCTAGAGTCAAGGACTTGAGCACTGCTTCAATATCTGTCGTCATCATGGCCACTGGTATTCCAAGACGATCTATCTCTTTGCTGAGGAATTGAGAGTCAACTACAGTTGGAATTCAATGAGACAGGCACGAGTCGACCCTATTTATGTCCATGTCCAAACCCCAATTCGACTGACCACATGATGGGCGCCTCCTCCTCCTCCTCCTCCTCCTCATCCGCCGTCCGAAGCTCTACCGAAGTTCCCGCCCAGCATCTCTTGAGCCCCGTCGCATGCCCGTTGACGTGAGACTCCCCAGGCCAGCTACCTCTAGGCCAAGTGGATCGCGGGCGCTCTATCTACTCCACTCCGGTAACTGGGGAACCCAATATCTGACCAGAACCATGTTGCCGCAGCCAATGAGGCTCCAGGAACCTGCCGACTATAAGCCGATGCCAATGTTGGAGCTGCCGAAGATTTGACGAATGCCCCGGGGTTTCTGCGAACAGACTCCACCTCTGTTTTGTTTGGCAGCGTATATCCATTTCCGGCAATTGGCTATCTCCAACTCGTGCAACGAACACTCTTCACTTTCTCCTTTTGTAGACATCGAATTTGTCCATATTGAGCGCTTTCTCGTAGCTCATCCTCATGATAAGAAAACTACATTCAGAGTTGCTCACTGCAAGACAGCCCCTCGACTCCATCGGGTTATGACGTTCGCTCAATGTGCTAAATGCTGACCCAGTAGAAAAGCGACGGCCTGGCTTTGTTTCATAGGTCACCTTGGCTGAGATCATCCCCTCGGATGTTCTCAATCGCGAAGATTCGTGAGAGATGGATGATTTGCAGGAGCTATTCATAAGCAGAGACATTGATAAAATATGTGACAAGGAACTGGTTTGACTGTACCAACAAAAATACATGAATCGAGTGGTCTGGAGTTGGTTGATTATACATTAGGTTTATGCGCTTTTGACAGTGTGGCCCAATGCCCTTGTCTATATGCTCCGGCAAGCGAATCTAGCAATTTTCTCTCTTCGCTCTCAGTATCCATATATACTTTAGCCATTCCTTACGACATCTAGAATGCCCTCGACCATTCCTCCTATCCCGAGACTGTAACCTAGTCTCACAACGCCCCTCGCAAACCTCCAAGCCCCGTCTTGGTTCTTGACCGGGTACTGCGCTGGAGGGGGAATCGCCGTCCTGACGCCTAGCCAACCAAATCGATCTTCACAGATACTTTTGATGTTGCAGAGGCCCCTCAGGCCCTCCTCTCCTGCGAATCTTCCATAGCCAGAACCACCGACACCGCCGAACGGCAACTGTACGGCGTAGAATACAGCAAAATCATTGACAGCCACGCCGCCAGAACGGATGCCCTTGACCACTGCACGGAGGACTGGATCACTGTCGTTACCGTAAACACTGGCGCCGAGTCCAAAGTCGGGTGCGTTTGCAAGGTTCAACAAGTCGTCAGCAGATCCTGAAGCTGCGCGCATGATCGTCATGATGGGGCCAAAGCATTCTTCTTGTGCAATCGCCATGTCCCGTGTCACGTCTACGAGCAGAGTAGGCGTAAAGTAGAAGCCTGAAGGGTGATCAGGGTGGTTATATCTCTGCCCTCCAGCCAGTAACTTTGCACCGCGCTGCACAGCATCTTGCACCAAACTCTCAAGACGGACAAACGAGTTGTCTGATATCACAGCGCCGACATCCTTCTCCGTTCCTAGCCGTAGTGCCTTGACACGAGGTGCCAGCATCTCCACTAGCTTGTCGTATACGCCCGGGGCACAAATGATGCGCTCAATGCCGATACAGTTTTGTCCAGCAGCTTGGAAAGAGCCGCGCATCATGATATCTGCAATCCTCTTCAGGTCACCCTTGGCCGAATCGCAAATCACGGCAGCGTCCTTGCCACCTAGCTCCGCCACAACTGGAGTAAGGCTCTTGGCGGCGCTGGCTGCGACATGGTGACAGACCGGACGACTTCCAATGAAAGTGACATGGCTGATGCCGGGGTGACTTGTAAGATGACCGGCAACCTGCGGCCAGCAGACGGCGCTCTGGATCAGGGCCGGATCATGTCCATGCGCGACCAGGGCGCCACGAGCAATGTTGGTATAATAGGCAGCGCTCCAGCACGTCTGCTCACTGACCTTGACCACGATTCCGTTGCCTGCAAATATGGCACTAATGATGGGACCGACCAGGTTATGGAATGGGTAGTTCCAGCTAACCAGCGCAGCTACAACGCCCAGTGGTTCGTAGATGACCTTGTTCTTTTTGTAGCACATCAGCATATTGGTGGGACGCTTCTCGGGCAGCAGGGCCTTCTCGCCATGTTTGATGGTCCATTGGAGCTTCTCGGTCGTGACTAGAATTTCGCCCAGCTGCGCGTCGAGCATGGTCTTGCCCGAATCCAGGCTGCTGACTCTGCATATCTGTTCTTGATTGTCGAGAACGTGCTGCAGCATGGTGCGCAAAACCGCCCTCCGCTCACGGAACGTGGTCTGACTCCATTTCTTTTGCGCCTCGGCGGCTGACGCAATGGCGCGATCGAGGCCAGCGGGGGTGGACGGGTTGACGAGACCGAGGAGCTGGCCGGTCGCTGGCGCGTAACACTGAATGGCAGAGCTACCCTCTACCTTGATCGAAGGATGCTTGAGAATCTGCGGTTCGCCTTCGGGAAGCTTTGGCGCGGGAACGGTATAGCGAACAGGCGGATCGGAGCGGACGAAGAAGAGGTAGACAAAGAGTAGTGCTATGCCAGTGGTGAGAGCAGCTGGCTTAATGAGTGCTTGAAGCTCTTCACGTAGACTGTTGATGCCCAAGTCGTCAGTCGATGCAAACGTAGAAGACCGCTACAATCAAAGGGGGAATTACGGAAACTCTTGAAAGAGGACTCCGAGCTGGTTGACCCAAGTCTCCAGGTCTTGGACCCCCATTCTGAGGCGCGCTTCTCTTGTCCGGAAAGCTTCTGATCACGACTTGGCTGCTGTCCAACCTGGTGGAGAGAATTGAAGCAAGATTGTGGCCAAGGAAGCTTCGCAATGGCTTTGCTTGTTGCAGCTCGGCCTGCGTTCTGGTCGTATGTTCAAAAATTAAAGTAACGCCGATCAAGGGTCCATCCATCCCATCCATACCTACATCGGCCCCTGACAGCTCGACTAGTGTCCAAAATTGACGTAACACCACCACCAAGCAAGCGAGCAAGTACCAAGCAATTCAACAACACATGAAGAACTTTGGGAGTGTTAGAATAGTATGTCTTTTCCTACGTTTATATATATACCTTTATTTCGATTATTTGAAGTTCTATAGTTATCATTTCCATGTACATCACAAGAGGGCAATGACTCGAATCAAACAGGTTGAGCATGATTTTGTATTTCCTTCTTCTATTCTCTTCCCATGCATCGTCATGTAGCCTCCCACTGCCTATATACACAAGCTGCTCTCCAGCCTCTCCTTTCCATCTCCCATCTTGAATTTGTCATTCTCCTGGCTCATGCTCGCCAGTCTCTCGCGGGATACAATCATCCCTTTTCTCAGAACGCCAGAAGAAAGTTCCGTGAGACTGGCGGGAGGGGTTTAAAAAAAAAACGATCAGAACAAGTAAAGAACCAACAATAACAAAAAGGAGAAAATGTCCTGATCTAGACAACGCATTAACTCAGTCATCTCGTACAATGCGTCTTCTTTCGCTGTGGTCTCCCAGGTACTCCCCGACGCCAGATTCAAAATAACGATAATGGTTTGAGAAAAACTAAAATAGATAAAACAAAACGGAAAAACGCGTCAAGGGTGATCGTCGTATGATTTGGTGCTGGACAGTATGCGTGATCGCTTGGTATCGCCAAAGAAACGAAACATGCTACCGTGCAGAGTAGGTGGTCGGCAAGCTGGCATGTGAGAACCTCACGGTCGGAAATATATCTCGTATGATACAAATGTATAAGAAGATCAAAGGCTGGTCGTTTGTAGGGAAATGGATGTGAGAATGTAGGTGGTAGTCACCTTGAGATTATCCTTTGCGTCAGCCGGCGCCGGGTTCCGATTTGGCACGTCTTGACTCGAAGTCTAGTAGGCCTTGCTTTTCCATAGCCGCTATAGAGAGTGGTTCAGTCGAGCTGAATAACCTCTTCCAGCCATGGATAGAATGACCCACAGGCCAATCAGCTACCGAAGAGGAATATGAATTCTATTCATGTTCGGCAATGTGATTGTCCTTGTGGTGGAACTGGAAGGCCGACTTGAAGGACTTGCCCCTCGTCCGTCTCCTTATCCTACTGACTATGCCGTCGCCTCCTTCGGCTGCGGGATCTGGTGATTGGCCGGAGCGGGTGGATTCGTAGCGGTTTAGCATTGCAGCCGACGTAAAATCATTAGATTGCTCGTAGCTGGGCCGCATCCGATCCATTGATGCTCTCATGCGATCATACGAAGGTCGGACTCGTTCCAATGATGGCCTAACATTGATCTCGGTCGATGGTTCATGTCGTGTATAATTCGTTCCATCACTGCCGTTTTGGCTGCGGGCATTGTGTGTTGTTGTTGAGTGCAGTGTTGGTGGGTAGATTGGCCGGCGATCTTCGTCAACGCTAGGGAATTGTTGGTGGCGCTTGACAGCAGATGTCGCCGAAGAGTCTGATGAGCCAGTCTTGACAGATTCCTTGCCAGTCTCCTGCGGTTCAACGTGCTTGAAGGCCCCCATGGTGATCTGTTCTCGGATGATGTCGACATCGTACGGGAAGTAAACCTTTTGCACGGCCTTGATGGCATATCGAGGAAGAATGCAAATGACGGGTGTCACGACAAACACCGCCCAGAAACTTGCTTGTGCGTAAACTTCTTGCGCAGCGCCGTAGAATGAAGCGGAAGATGTAAAGGAGGAATAGACACCAGTCCAGAAGAAGATGAACAAGTCACTCAGTACAACAACGAGCAACATGATCCAATCCCAGCGGTAGGTGTTGATAAGGATGTAGAGATTGATTGTGAGCACAGCTGGGTGTGCAACATAGCAACCAAGCCTGATACGGTCTTGCACGTCGAGACCGTTACCGGTGATAAAGTCGGCGTTGATGAATGTGAGGTACGGGATGAAGAAGACCATGACACTTTGGTAAATACCGTCGACCATGTAGAGCCTGGTTATTGTCATGATTAGCTTCCGATGGTGGACGAATGGTTTAATCTTGAGAAAAACTTACCAGAACTTTGTCTGCGTCCACTCAAGACGTTCGATACCACGGCGGTACAGTTCAGGTACAGCCAGAGAAACGGCGTCGGAAACGTCCTGGTCGAGGACACCCATGAGGATGACTGGGACTGAGGTAAAGAACAGGTTAAACATGAGAATATATGTGTACTCCATGAGGTAGGTGATGTCGAAATCGCAGAAACACTGGAACCAGAAAATAGACCACGTCCAGATCATATTCTTATAGAAGAAATTGGAGATGGACTCAGCCAGACGTCTGTACGACCAGCGTCCGTGAACCAGGACCAGGCGCTGCAGGAAGCGGAATTGACCGATAGCATAGTCTGAAGACATGACTGCTTGGCGACCTTCGACACCAGCAATACCAACACCAACATCAGCCTCTTGGATCATGGCCACGTCGTTGGCACCATCGCCAACCGAGAGAGTCATAACATCAAGGCCGGTCTTGACCATGGCAACAACAGCAGCTTTCTGGGCAGGACTGACACGGCAGCAGAGAACGGATTTGCATTGCTTACACAGAAGCAAGAACTTCTGCATGAGGCTTTCGTGAAGAACCCACCGAAGGGTGAAACCATCGATGACCAGAGCATGGGTGGGCCCAGGCGCCTCGTGGTTCTTTCGGGCCTCCTTCAGGTCCTCGTCACTTCCCGTGATGCCAAAGGATTGCAGGTGCTTGTCGAGTTCCTTTTCCACAGTCTCGAGGAATTCCGTGTCGGGGGTTGCTCCGGACTCGTCCTCATTGACCTTGAGATGAATCAATTCCATGTCGTTGTTGAGTAGATTGCAAGAGAAACCAATGTTGATGGCCGTCTCCACCTTGTCGCCAGTGAGGACCCAAAGTTTGATACCGGCCTGTCCTAGCAGGGCAATAGTGTCAGGAACACCATCTTGCAGTCTGTCTTCGATGGCGGTACCACCAAGTAGGCTAAGTTCTTGTTCAATCTTGTTGGCGACTTCCTCGAGCTTCTCTTCACGATCCGTAAGAGCTGTAGCGGCCTTGTCATGCTCCTTTCGCCATTCCAAGTACTCCTTTTCACCCAAGACTCGCTCAGCGATGCAAAGTGTTCGGAGACCCTCTCGAGCAAACATTTCCAAGTGTTCGGCAGTCGTCTTACGAAGCTCCTGCTGCTCTCCACGCTTCAGTCGGGAATAGATAACACTGTCGGCTCCCTTGCAAAACAAGCGAATCGTGCCATCGGGGAATTTGATAATCGCACTCATTCTCTTACGGCTCGAGTTGAACTCGATGGTATTGAGAATAGGATAATGCACCTCCTTGCCCATGACATTCAATTTGATACCATCGCTGGTTGCTCCCAAGACAGTGAAACCCATGTCACGGGCAGTAGCAACGAGCGCAGCTTCATCAGGAGACTGAGCCTTGAACACAATCTTGGGCGGATCGCCAGGCACATGTTCAGCGATGACAGTGTGGCACAGGGCCAAGGCAAGCATGAAATGTTCGTTGGCTTTGGCCTGTTCCTCTCCGAATTGGCCTTCGCCTGCCAGGTCTTCTACGAAATCGGGCGCAATGAAAGTAACTTCGTCGTCGTGGAGGAATGGGTTGTCGTGAATGCGGCGAAGACCGCGGAGGGCACGGATCTTGGCTTCTGCGATTTCCTTCTTGGCCTTTGCTGCTTCCGCGACCACGTCGATTCCAAGTCGTTTTTGCAGACCAGCTTGTGCTTCGGTATATGCTTCGCCGTAGGGTTGCCCGTTGATAGTGGCCTTCTTGAATTCCATGACATTTTGAGTCAGGGTGCCGGTCTTGTCGGAGAAAATATACTCGATTTGCCCAACGTCATCAGAAATATTCCACGACTTGGGCACACAGGGCTGATCGATTACATCGTAGTACATTTCCACATCGCTGTAAATGAAGATGGCTTGCAGCGTTCTGACGATTTCCAGCGAGATGTAGAGGGAGATAGGCACCAAGTTTTGGAAAACAATGACGGCAGCCCAGAAAGTGATGAAGCCGGTCAAGCCGGCTGTTCCACCAATAGAGCCGTATTCGAAGAATGCAAGAGAAGCATCTGACTTGCCCCAGGCGATACCGTTGACGATACCAGAGACCAGACACATGACGAGCAGGATTCCAAAGTTGCAAATGACGTTGAAGTTGAGCTCGCGGGCGATGCGCGCACGCTTGCTGGGTGTGATACCCGCATTCATCATGATCTTGGTGTCGTGTCCGGTGAAAACAACAATACCGAGAACCCAATCCGTGTTGCGGAGGTTACAGCCACGGAGAAGCAGGTTGTCAATCGAAATTGGCTCAGACATTTCTCTGTCAGAACCGTGAACCTTTTGTGTCCAGTTGATAGCACCGTTGTACTTGTACAGATTTGGTTGCGCCGCTTCGCTTTCGATTGAGAATTCGGCCTTTTCGCAGTCTCTCGCATGCTTCAAAGTGCGTCCGCATCGCAAAGCAGTTCGCACCTTCAAGTTTGTCTCACCGTCAAGGTTCTTGGTTTCGACGTAGCATGCGCCATCGGGATCAGATGTAGACAAGACAATGATATCGGCCGGGAGTTCATCGTCGTTGTATAGACGCACGAAATCTCCGACCTGTACATTCTTCCAAGCATCCTTGTGGAATCGAGCACCGCCATTGGTGGCTCTGCTGTGGTTAATAAGGTCTCCTTGAATTCTGTCGATAGAGTCTGGCTGGTCCTGGTTGAACGATAGACTTGTGTCTGGCCGGGGAGAGTTGGGGACAGAGAGTGTGTCGGTTGGGGGGAGTGGCGAAGCCAAAGGCGAGGCCATGGGCGTCATCTGGATATCCTCCTGTGCCGAGATGTACGAGGTTCGGTCCGTGTGAGGAGAGATGACGGACTCCCTGTACGTGGCATGGGTATCGATTGAAGGGCGAGGATCGGCGATACTGGCCATGGCGCTCTTCTTGGTATCCTTCTTCCATAGACTCTCAATCGCGTGCCAGATGGCGCCGAAGAATTTAGAACTGGCTTTCTTGAACTTTCGCCATGTCGAGACGTTGTCCTCCTGGACATTGACATTGTCCCAACCGACCAGACGGTGCACTGGGGCGTTGTTTAGCTCGATATCCAAAACAGTTCTCCTGTAGTCTTCTATGGCATCTTTTATGGCTGTAACGGCAATGATGAAGATAAGCGGTACTGCGTTCAAACCTGGATTGCTACCACCAAAGATGGGGAAAATCTAGAATATCATAGGTCAGAAGAGGTTTCAACAAAAAGTTGGCAAGAACAGAATATCAGAATTCGAAAGGAGCCCGTGACAAAGACGGGAACCCAATCGTAGGGTTACAAATAACGGTGCAATTACATACCACAAGGATGACCAGAAACAAGAAGAATATATTGGCGATGTTGTGGAATTGAAACCACAAATTCTTCGGAACGAAGGATAGGGGTGTATATTTGGCTGTCCGGATTTTGTTTCGCGTAAATTGTTGCAGAGGATGGCCCTCTTCGTCCCTGAACGCTGCAGGCAACGGAACATTGAAAAATAACGTCCGACCTTCGCCATCGTCGCTCGGAGCTTCGCTGTTGGCATCATCCTGATTACCCGAATTTGGATCGTTGGGATCGTAGGTGTCGTCATCGTCGGCCCCTTCTTGCCTCACTGAATTACTACCTCCGGAATGCCTCTTCTTTTCAGACGAACTCGTGCGTTTGTGTATCCGGTCCATGATGGAAACTCTCTTGACACCACCGCTCTTGACCGTCATCTTTCGCGTCGCCCATCTTGACCGCTTTGGAGCCTTGTCTGTGCCCTGGCCATGCGCGCCTTCACCCTTTGCCATTTTTGCCGAGTTACGGGCAGAGCCCGTTCAACCCGCTGGTTACGCCAGAGTGGCCCCTTGGCCTTTGCGCGCAGTTCGTCCCAAGAATTTTCGTCTATAGTCGTTAAACTTACTAGCTGCAGTGTCGTTGTTGTTTGGTTGGAATTTTGCTTTCAAAGCTGTTGGAGCTGACTGCCCGTTGGAGTCGCTCTCGACGGATCCGGCGCAACGGTCGTCCTATGTCACCGAGTAGGCGCCGTTGTGCAAACCAGACAGGTGGGTGGATTGCACCTAGATGATACGATTTTGTCGACGGCGTCTTTGTTGTTGACAACAACCAGAAAAAAGTAGGTCGGCCAGGCGAGATCGAGGTGCACAGTCCCTACTTTTTTTTTTCTCCTCCTTGCGGTTCAAGGCAACGGACGGAGTCGACGGGTTGGTTGATGACAGCGAGACCGAAAAGGAAAAGGGTCGGGCTCTCTGCTTATTGGAAAGTTCCAAGTGCTGGAACTGGATCGCTAATATCGGATGGGCCGGGGATAACGCAGAAGCGGGACCCCGATGCTCACTGAGTGGCCACCCTAGCAGTTTTGGAGGGGGGAACACTGAAGTCCTTGGGAAATGGTGTAGTACACTGAACACCTCGTGAATCGACTCTTACTACAGGCGAGTGGCCCCCCCTTTGCAGCGTGCACAGGCGTTACATCAGGGGGGGTCCAATTAGGCCTGCATAACTCGTCTCCGTCAACACCGCACTGTGCTAAGCCCTCTCTCGGGTGTGAGAGACATGCGCCCCCGATCCTTCAACCTACATTTCTTATCCCGAGTCGGGCTCAGAGCATATACCGTTCCATTGTGGTAGAGACGAACAACAATGAGCTTACATTGCACACGGCTGAGCATTTTGTTGGCAGTCACTGAATCATTTTTGTGCACGCTTGTTCGACCAATATACGAGACCATATCCACTGCAGGCGTCCCACCCCAGTTGCAGGCGTCTCCTCCGACTTGCCAGAATAGTGAAGCAGCCTGGCTGGCTTCGGGTCGGGTTTCTAATGTGATGTACCTTGACTGGCCCGGTGTTTTGTGCAGTCCGTCGTTACCAATACAGCGTTCGCCAATGGCATTGGCTCAGGCATAACTGCGGACCAGCAGCAGGTTTCGCCAGTAGGGATTATTACTGTTCATTGTTTTGCCCAAAAAAAGATCAGCTTGGCCGACTACGGTCTAGAGGCTAGATAGAACGAGCCGAGAGAAAAGAGAACAGGAAAAATAGAAGGGGCCAAGGCGGGCGGGAGATTGGTAAGCACCACATTGCTAATGCAAATGTGCGAAGTCCCAACTCCGAAGCCACATTGGTGCAGGCGCAGACAAGACGTTTCTCTTCCTGGGCGTAATTTTACCGCGTGTTCCAGGTTCGTAATCCTTGGTATCTACGGTAAGCAGGCATCGCAGGGCCAGTTGGTTCAGCTGGTCTGAGGTGATGAACCCCCAATGGTCCTACCAACAAGTCGCACATCTCATGCATCACAGAATCCTGCTCCTTCATAGGAATGGGCAATGACACCTCTCTCCAAACCGCTTGCACATCTGAGCCCGCCCACAGCTCGCCGATGAGAAGCACCAGCTCGGCAGATTAGCTCACTACTACAGTCTAGGTTTGACGTAACGACGCCACCATAGCTTTGCCGCCCCTCGAAGATTCTTCGTGTGAGACAACGTGTAGAGCTCCTGGCTGCCACGAGGGATGATATTTCCCTGTTCGTGGTCCGCTGAATTAAAGGTATCATTCCCAGCTGCAGCTTCTGCAGTTTCCCCGAGAGTCAAATTCTTCCCATGCGACACGCGTGCCAAAAGTCTGCGTTTATGTACATGCCTCCAAGTGCCTCTGGACCTTGTTGTTCTTCGCGCCGGCTCGTGAATAGACTTCTTCAGTGCACATTACTATCGTGTGAAATGCATCGTGAGATACTATACAAGAAACCAGGTGTGTATAATTGAGCACTGCGGCGGTCTGATTCTAACAATAGTTCTGCCGCTATAACCGTGATCGCCCGGTGCGCTTTAGGGGTCAATCAAATCAATATGGCTGGTCAATTTCTCGGTAGCGATGGGTGACAGGCATTTGATTGATTATCAGATCCAGACCAGGGTAGCCGCTGTAGGGTATTGTGAGAATCACAGTTTTTGCGGCGTCCTCATTCTTACCTCATCTCAGCGAAAAGACGCATATTCTTCAGCTTCCCGCTTACTGAATGAAAAGGAAAAAAGAACTCACTCGAGCATAGAATACATAGTCATCCTCATGTTGATCTCATCATGATAACTGGATCACTCTGTCACTTGTTAGCTGCGCTGATTACACAGTAGAGAGTCCCCAAGGCACCGCCACATTCCATGTACATCATGCCGTGATCCTTTAAGTGGACCAGCGTCCATTTCTAACTTCTATTCTTGACATTGAGCGCGCTTACTCCAGTCTGAACTGCAGTCAGAATTGTGCGACAAAATCCTGTGACAATCTTTGCCAGTTGTAGGCTCCAAAAAAAAAGGCCCTACATTTTTAGACAGGCTGTCAAGATATCTCAAAAAAAGAATCCAGAAAACTGGCTGCAGCTAACGGCCACAAAGCCTTGCCCGTCGTCCCGGACACCGCGACACCGAAGAATTGTTAGGGCGCACTGTATCGTCACTGTACGTACATTGATTGAAAGTCGTCGAGATGCAAACCTGGGCCCCAAACCAGACTACGGTGACGAGCCTCGACGGTCCACTCCCCCACAGGGATGGGGCCCCTTGTGGATATCTCACGATTTTGACTCGGGGGTCTTGCTGGAGGACCGAGATGCAGCAAAAAAGGCCTTGGTCCTCTCAAATCTACTACGTACATACGGCCGCGACAGCGCGAATTGGGTCCCGTACCTGCGAATTTGCACTTGATTGCTCGCAGGCCGCATTCCCCGCCCTAGAGACGATTTTATTGAACTCGATCATCTCTCTTCTCGCCTTAAGCAGAAAAAAGCCGCGACGAGCGAGGCCTTTTTTTTCCCGCCAGCTCGCTGCTCTCAAATGCCCAGGTGACGTCGAAGGAACCCCCCGCCAAGTTGGGAGTCGATTCCTCTCTCTTATTTCTGCTTTTCGCCGCAACCAAACGATTCGGACATGCACGACTCTGCGTAGGGCGACCTGCCATTTCGTCTGACTGGCTCATCGTCGCACTTGAAAGACCTGAAGCTGGCTTAAGTTTAGACCGTCATACGTAGTACAATTGGTTCCAGGTTACACCAGGTAAAGGGTTCGGCGCCTCTTGCAGCTAAACATTGAACTACCAACGACCAACTTGTCAACTACCCAACGTACCTGCGCCATCACGGGCGACTTTCTTTCCCCCCTTACCTAGGTAGTACATAGGATGACTCCCGACTCGAGCGGTTGGGCAACGGACAACGGGCTGATCGAACGGGGCGAAAAGTGACCAGCATCGAAGCTTACCAAACGGGAGCGTAAAAGCCTGCCGCAAGTTGCAACATGACTTAGCATGTGTAAGCAGCTAAGATAGCCTACTATTAGAATTTTATGATCGCACATGATCTCATGTTTCCTCCAACTATTTGAGAAAACAGTATATCGTATACCAGCAGCAAATTGGAAATGGACGAATACGCTTGGATCTGGAGCTCTTGCAAGTTCCAGAACCGGCATTTGTCTCTGCAGATCTGAGGATAAAGGGGTCTTGTACGATATACGTCCTGTCAAACCACGACTCGCTCGCGCTGCTCGGTATCATCCGGGACGGGATTGAATCGTTTCACAAACAAGACCTAGTCGTCTGAAAAAACGCCAGCCAAGAATGGTCAAAGGCACGCCAGCGAGTCACTGTGGCATCAACAAACTTTTCACGGTAGTACGCTTGCCCTTTTTTTCTTGTGATATGCTCGCTATGGTCTATTATTACTGTACTCGCTTCCAGGTTGCTTCGATGCTCGCAATGGGGCAGCTGTTTTAGCGGCCTGTTTCTTCCTAGGTTGCAGCCGCACCTTTTGGGACCATCCAGATTCTACCAAGCGGAACCAAGGGAAACGCGGATATCTAGTGCCGGCCGGCCTCCCATAATGGCAAGAGGATATATAGGCAAATGGTAGGGCTGCAATCACGATGCAGCGACCAGACTAGAAAGTGAAGAAGCGGCATTATGGAAGCACTACATTACATGCCTACGATACACATGTCATCACTTGTTGACCCAGGCTGCCCTGCACCATTACTTTTACTACAGTCACCAGATGTTTTTAATATGGCCTGTCGCAGTCCGCCTCGCCGCGTAGATTGAGCGCGCATAGCGACTGACGTGTCTAGGCCACGAATATAATCGTTTGAAATGGCCCATGCGCTCGATTCGTCTCCTCCGACCCCCCTTCTGCAGCCCAGTGTGCCCCGTTGATCATCGTGAATGGACACATCGTGGTGGGTTGCGCTTGGAACCCCCCTTGATGGAACGGATTTGTTCTTTCCCCATTTCCCCCAGATGCTTCAGACGGACAAGAGAGAGATCAAAGAGCCTGCATCCATCCCTTGCACACAATTGGATAGTGATAGCGCACGTACTATGTATGCCACAGAAGGAGGGGTGTTTCTCTTGACGTTGCAGATTGTGAGGTGCATTTGTGAGTCCCCAAGCGGGTTGCTACTTACTACAAAGTAGCTGTGGCCCCTCCAAATGCCACCATGGAAAAATAGTGCAACTTTTGATGCAGATGAGGCAGGGAGAGGAACTGGGGACTTGGCGATGCAACCAGATGGCAGATGGTACCTTTCTTAGATCACTACAGCGGATCCCGTCGACATTGACCCCGGCCGAGGCTTCGTTCGCCCAAGTGAGGACCTGCGAGGGGAAATGGCGATCTGCCAAATAGCACCAGCTGTCGGCGGCTTGGCACAGCAATTCGGCAACTGATAAACTTTGCGCTAAGGCCACTAGGTACCGTTGGCCGTGATTACGTACGTTCAGGTACATTTGAGTTCTTACCCACGCAACTCGCACGAGCAGCGGCTTCTTTATGTTGGGCAAGGTTCTGACTGCTGTGAAGTTGCTTAATTGATGTCATGTGATCTTGCGTTGCAGCAGACACGTCCCAACCACGAATGGAGCCACCGAACCGCGTCGAGAGTGCACTTTCAATGCCAAGCCCCAGCCTGTCTCTGGCCTGACCGGCAGAATTCTGGCCAAAATGTCCAAAAATGGAGATATACGAGGATTTTTTGGAAAGAAGGCATCACAGACCTCAAGACCGGACACTAGCAGCGCCTCTCAGCTAGGACCGGAGCCGAAGCAAGCAACCAAGCCCGCACCTGTCGCTGCCTCGGAGCTTTGGCTGGATTCGCCGGATTTGCCATCTTCTCCCATTACCCCCCAGAAGAATGTGACCAAGACACCTCGGGCACGTGATACCGAGATCAAAGGATCCGACGATGAAGATGATGATTCGGACTCTTCCTTTGAGTCCATAGGAGCGATGCTCGGGAGAGGACGCAACAATTTGGGTGCAGCTTCTCAGAATGTGTCCGCCGGGTTCATGACAACCCCAAAGGCTAAGAGGATTGCGCGCGGGGGGTTTCATCGCTCGCCTCTTACCCTTCAGCAACAGCCGAAGCATAAGTTCGATTTCAAGACTCTACTCAACCACGTGAAGCAGGACAATGCTTTTGACGAGAGTGTTCGAAGGGCCGAAGCGGCCATGGCCGAGGCCGAGGAGGAGTTGGAGCCCGTGATCAACCCAGACAAGATGGCCGGCGAGGCCATGGCTGGCGAAGATGAGTCCAAGATCGAAAAGCTCGCCAAGGCTATAGACAGAACTACGGGCGATGAATCTCGCCCTCGTGCCTATTTCTTTGACTTTGAGGAGCCGCCGCGGGACCTTAAGAAGAAACCGTTTCCCAAGAAGAGTGTCAAAGCCAAACCTTGGTCTATTCTCCAAACGGAAAGCTCGAGGAATCAAATGTTCATTCACGGATTGCCTACCACCTTGGCAAGGAAGGGAAAGGAACTACCAGACGAACTATACTTGTGGATACTTGACCAAGTTTGTGTTGAAAATGATGCGCAGTTGCGCAACCAGTATATCGAGCTAGCTTCGTCCTGTATTGACGATACAAACCGTCTCGTTACTGCAGAAAAGCTGTATGGCATGCTCGAAACATTAGGAGGCGCAAAATACTCAGACGAGGGTGGGAAACTCCCACTCTCACCTGGTCTGCAGAACCCCTATCCCGGGAGAGATTGGGCACCTCTAAGATACTTCTTGGAATTGCTCACGCGGATGGCTCGAAATCTCAACACAGAGACCAATCTTGATGCAATAAAAATGCTCCTGCGACTAGGCCTGGATCCCATTATTGTGACCATGGCCGGGTTACAGGTCGCTCATTCCACAGCTCTACTAGAGTTGATATCAGCCTTGCCTGCAGCACCAGCACGATGGGAATATTGCGTGAGTCCATGAACCTTTTCTTTCCACGTAGTAAATACTGAACTTTTCCAGTGTAAAAGCATATGCGACTACCTCTATACAAGCGTTGAGCAAGCATCACAACGGTCATTTGCCATTTCAATGCTCCCGACCTCAATACCTCCGGGCGTAGATCTCCAGCGGCGACTGGCATCAGAAGCACTGCTCAACGAGCCCAATCTCGGCGCAAAGGACCCCGGTCAATCAGTCACAATTCATGATATTTTTGACCGCATGTCAGAGCCAGACTTCCAGATTACGAACTCGACAGATTTTGGGGAACTCATCGCCCTGGTAACACTCCTCGACATTGTGATACACGATGGAACTCATCTCTACCGCGCTCAACTTGCCCTTTCCACTTCGACAGCCCCGGAAGACGAGGCTCGATCCCACTACGATGCTGACATCGACCGGATTGTCGTGGGGCTCAAAATCCTCCACGACAAGATTAGCGACAATACGCTGATCCTCAAAAAGGAAGTCAAGCTATCTCTTGATGGTATGATGAAACGACTCAAGAATACTGTGCGATCGTGTCCGCCGCCAAAGATTACAATTTTCGATGACGACAAAGCCGAAAAGGAGGACAAGTTCTTGCCACGGCAGAAGGACTTTATGAAGAAATGGACTGCTGCCAAGAAATCTGCCGTAGAGGAATAGGCGCCTTTTGGCTTGGATAAGGCGGCGTCACGGTACTTATCATGAATGAATGCGTCATGATCAAGAGCCAAGATGAAATGACATTGCTGTATTGATGTAAAAACCTGCATGATGTTGGAACGACCTCTCCCTCTCTCCCAGTGTATGATACATTGTCCGTCTAGACTCGCGAATACCAGGCTGGAATAAAGCATGATTGGGCCCCAGGACTCGGGAAACGACGATGCATGACAAACAATCTCTCCTTCTGCTTTGCAACCCCGTTGACTCTCCAAACAACCCGTGCTATGGTGGGTTGTGCTTCTTTAATCAAAGAACTTGCGGTTCGGGTTATCGCCGAATAAGGTCTTCCGCACGGCAGGCAGACCGACGTCTTGAAGTAGCTTCAGACGCTCCTCGAATGTGTTGTTGATGTCGATCTTACCCTGGCCGCCGACAATAATGACACCTCCGGCACTGCGGTTGATCAATGTCAGCATATCAGGCATTCTCTACAAACTGCGATATAAAATGGATGCAGGAACGCAATAATAAAACAAGAAGGGCTCCAAGGCCGGGACATGGTGACTTACCTTCCCTCGGGCAATACGTTCTCCTCGTCCACGATAACCTTGGTCTCCTTGCCCGTCTTCTCCTTGTACTCCTTCTCGGCGTCCTCGATGGCACCCTTGAGGACCTTGGCGTCCTTCTTCCGGCCCCGGACGCTAACCTCCTTCTCAGTCAGGGCGTAGAGGCCCTCGAGGATGAGGTTCTTGAGGGTGGTGCGGTACTTGGACTCGTCCTTGGAGCCGTCGACGAGCTTCTTGCCAGCAGCGTCGAAAATGTCGTCGAGGAGCTCCTGGCGGGCGCCCAGGACCTTGAGCCGGGTCTTGTTGGCCACGGTGGAGCGGGTGATTTGCTGCGTCATGGAGGCCTGCTTGAACTTTTTGGCGTAGCTGGCGTCAATGGCGTCCGTCTCCTGGCGCACCAGCTTGGACTTTTCAATCGAGAACTCCTCGTTGGCCTTGATCTCGATCTCGCGTGCCTTTTCGAGTGCCTCCTGCTTGATGAAGGCCGTCATCTTCTTCAGCTCCTGGTCGACCTGTATTTGAAGAACACCCCATATTAGCTGCCTATCATTCTGTCATGGCTGGGAAAGCGGTATGTCTTTTTTTGAGTAAATCATGGATTGTTGTTATTTGTTGCAGAAACATTGTTGAAAATGTCATTTGATGCCATGATCTCCTCAAGAATCGATTTCATTCTTTCAAGTTTTGCAATGACGCACCTGAGCGTCCGACATGGCGTGGACTTGCGACATGTTGCCGGCTTTTGTTGTTATGAGAGATATGAGGTAACCGGTGGGATTCTAGGCGGCGGGCAACAACAGTTCGGCCGTTGAGGAGGTATGTTGCTCGAGCTGGTCAAGCAGTCCGTAAGCGATGCGCAGAATGGACGGAGCTTCGGAGAGGGGGGGGTTGGAATATAATCGGAAGCGGTGGTCGGAGGCGGGATGAGGATGTCGTAGGATGTCGTCGTTATTACTCTGGGCTATGGGTAGGTATGGTGGGTCCCCCGGACTTGGGAGAGCTTCACTCCAAAGCAGGCAAGCAAGTCAAGCCAAAGCCAGGTCAGGTCAGCTTAGGTTGTTTGGGTTGTTGGACGTGTGCCACTGACGACGTCGGCTCCTGCAGGTAGCGCAGCTGACGGACGGGGACAGACTGGGTCCTAGCTTATTAGCTCGTAGGTAGCTCTGCTCTGCTCTCTTACATCTCAGGGAAGCGGTCAAAGCCACATCTCAATCAACGAACAGCAAAGCAAGCCACTTTTGCAATGCGCCACAAAAAGTTGTCTTCATCCTGGGCAACCATTCCAACTGTCTCACATGCATTTTGCATTGAGTGGTAGCGTGGCTAAACTTGCAGCGCTTCTGGTTATGGTCAATGCCAGTGCTAATCTGGGAAAACTGGAGCTTCTGATCCGGCCCACTGAGTGATCCCCGACCGCCCAAACTAGCCCAGCTTTCCAGGGCTGCACTCATTCGTCCTTCCCATTTGGCGGTCCCAGGTCACTGGCCATCGCCAACAGCGGGCCGAGCATCGCTGAAGAGAATGAGAGGGGAGGCACTCAAAGCGCGGCGACAGCGCCAAAACTGCCGCCGCGTTACGTCCCTGCAGCGAGTCAAATGCTCTGGGCTTGTGACCCAGCGACGATCCCCAGTTCTGGAGTGTGCTTGCTAGGCCTGACTTGTAGTGCGTATTCAGAGTAGTAGTGACTAAATCGACCTCATCATGCTCATGCCCTCAAGATGCGAACCCGTGTTCCCTCTTTTTCTTTTGTTTCAATTTGATGCTCTGAGACTTTCTATTGATATTGAGGATACTGCACTAAACGACAAGTCTTTATGCTACACATGTACACGTTTCTAAAAGTGTAATTCATAGACTTGTTCAAAGGTCATATTTTCCAGTGGTCATGTCAGATACATGACATGTTTGGCTTCTCTAGGCCTTGAGCTACCTACATTACAGTACGCTACTGTACTACTGCCGGCGGAGATTCACCACCCACGCCGGCATTCATCAAATCGCATCCTCCATCTCCCCCATTTGGGCAGGACCCCGGTCAACTCCAGCGTCATTCAAAGACAACGCCCGCCGTCATCACTTGTGTGAACTGCGCAGTTCGCAGTCTTTTATCTGCTCGCCTGGTGACGGTAAACATAGCGTCCTAAAGAGAATCCCTAAGTTCGTCGGCTTCAGCGTGCGCAACTCCCACCGCCACGTTTCACCGTTTGGCAGACAACGAGGAGAATACCAAGCAACCGAGATCGACACCCGTCCGCCAGCGACTCCACGAAGCCGAGTTTCCCTCTCAAGCAATCTCGCGCCCAGCTCGAACGCCGATGCACAGCCAAGGTGCGCAATCGTCAGCGATCCCCTTCGCTAGATGATCATATAGCACCTGGCTTGCGAGAGAAGAGTCGTGTTCGTCATGGGATCGCTGGGCGGTCTCTCCCCCAGCGGGAGCATTGCGGTGTGTATATGAATGAACCTTGCACCACTCCTTAACTCCCTTTTCCGTGTCCGCCCAGGGACTATGCGCTGACGCTCGACATGTTGTTGTCAAGATCGGTGTGCTAGTCGGCCTCATATCTACAAGCGTACAGTCTCTAGGACTCACCCTACAACGAAAGTCACATATACTCGAGGACGAAAAGGATCCGCACGATGTCCGCCGCCCGCCACACCGGCGGCGGAGATGGCAACTCGGCATGGGAATGTTCGTCGTGGCCAACATTCTCGGAAGCAGCATCCAGATCTCGACGCTGCCGTTGCCCGTACTATCGACTCTTCAGGCCGCCGGCTTGGTCTTCAACTCGATATGCGCCACCCTCATCCTGAGCGAGCCGTTCACGAGATGGAGTTTATGGGGCACATTGCTCGTTACTGGGGGCGCCGTACTGATAGGCATATTTGGCGCCATTCCCTCGCCGGCGCATAGCTTGCGAGAACTACTCGAGCTCATGGGCAGATGGCAGTTCATCCTCTGGATGGCATTCCAGGCTGTCCTCGTCGTGGGTGTCGCAGCAGCGACCGACGTGGTCAGCCACTTTACCAACCTGTCGCAAAACTCACGATTCCGGTTCATTAGAGGCTTGGCATATGGGTGTATCAGTGGTATCTTATCCGCGCACTCGTTACTATTTGCCAAGTCCGCCGTCGAACTTGTTCTTAGGACCATTGCTGATGGAGACAACCAGTTCGTCCATTGGCAAGCGTGGATGATTGTCCTAGGTCTGGTTACACTAGCTTTGAGCCAGTTGTATTACCTTCACCGAGGATTGAAGCTCGTCTCCACGTCTGTCTTGTATCCTTTGGTATTTTGCATATACAACATCATTGCCATTTTGGACGGTCTCATTTATTTCAACCAAACAGACTTGATATCAAGATTGGACGCCGGTCTGATAGCAGTAGGCACCGTCATCCTCCTTGCCGGAGTTCTCGCCTTATCTTGGCGTCTCAGCGACGAACAGCATCCACCTCCTGCAGGACAATCTACTCTTACACCTGGTCTAGGGCTTGTGGAGGATACCGACGGCGAGGAGGATTCGCTTCTAGATTCCGACACCATCACCGACGAGGATGACACTGTGCCCAAGACTTATAATACCTTTGCGCCAGGTACTATTGAGACATCACCACTAGTAGCCACACGGAAGCCTTCGAAGCGATGGCACGAGCGGGATGAGATATGGGGTGAACTCGAGGATCAGGAGGGGCTTAGTCCGCCGCCTCAACCTCACCGATCTCTCACCCTTCCCACTGGAGCCGATGAAACAAGTGCTCTACTTGGCGGGCCCAGGCGGCATGTATCGAATGCTTCAACAGGATCCCTTTCGATAGCAGGGCCATCATCCGCGTCTGGCGAACCCCGGAAAAGGTCACTGCGCAGGCGTAGGAAGTCCACTGGCTTCCCCGGGTTTACCGCACGCAAGGCACCCGGAAGACGAAGGAGCACCAGTGGCGCAGCTGTCCAGGACGCGCTTGGTGGTATCTTGAAGATGAAGTGGTTCAAGGGCCGAGATCGCGGGGATAGTACCACCGCTGTCGAGGACATGCCATCCCCTCATCGAAGAGATTGGAGCTGGGGCCGCCTACCGCGGTTTCGGGATGAGGAGGAGGCAGTCGGAGCAATGGGAGATGACGTATCACCCAATAGAGCTGCAGATGCGCGGCCTGCCGGCGAGGAGGAACCACGGGATGGTAATCAAGACACTCCAAGAGAAGGAGACGGGTCTGATAGAAGAACTGGCGGTGATGGCGTATAGTGCCCGTAGTCTTACTACGAAATCAACATTTCTTTGTGATCTTTATATTCTTGATACCTTACCACATTAGCGAATTTGTATACCTCTCAGCATTTTCATTGTAGCTTATTTTAATCGCACACGCCAGGTACACTTAATCATTCCATACGTCTTTAAATGTTTGACACGTAAAGTCTTGAGTGCGAAAAGGTAGAATCGTTGTATAGTGCTTCTTGTTCATCTTGTACAGATCCATTCACAAAACTCTCCGCAGATCATGATCTTAACTCATATATATGAACCATTCAGACAATATTCCCTGATTCAGGAAATGAGTCTCAAAGTATTCCGGGGCATATTTATTTCTATGACTTGACACGCTGAATTATCGCAAGATATCTGGTGTTTTTCTGTTCAAAAACACCATATGAAGAACAGAATCTGAACAAGTCATTTGCCAAGTCGGTTCCTGATTACTCTTCCTGCGGATTCGAAACCGCGAGAAGTTTATTGTGTGATTAGAATGGAAGCCAATTGAAGGCATCTAGACGGACTAGGTTCGTTCTTGGTAAATGTGCCTTTGTTAATACTTAAAACGGTAGAGAAGGATCTTGTACATAAACTTGAATCGCTGTGGATGAATACTATCTGCGTACTACCAACTTTTCATTACTCTCTCTTCTCGCAGGACTGATCAGCGAACATTGAACCACCGCGAACATAATGAATAATCTGTGGAAACCAATCCTCTCAACCAAGCATGAGCGTACTTGCAACCTTGCCTCATATAATATCAAACATAGTCCTGCGCGCGTCTGGGTGTGTAGACCGAGATGGTGTTTCGCGCGGCTGTTGCATGAGCGTCGATCGATTGGTCGCTGTCACAAATCCATCGGTTACTCATGACGGTCCACACACATGTCTCTCTTCCTCTTTCTTTGTTTCTGTACCAAAGTCGCCTTCTTCCATATTCAAGTCCTCGAAGCAAGATGGATTGTTGTTCTCAATCGCGGTCTCCTCGCCACCAGCAGCAGGAGGGCCTGGAGAAATTTTCGATAGCCAGTCATGAATTCTTTCTCGTTCTTGGAATCGATTCAAGTAGAGCTTGGCCTGTTCAGCAACTACTTTGCGAGACGAATAGTCTACTGGACCGTTTTCAGGAGGCCACTCTTCCATGAACTTGATGATGAAGTGTCCCCAGTTCTCAACATCTCGACCGCCTGGTGCCCACCCAAGTACTACAGCTCGAATAAGGGCGTTCAAGATATTCGGCTGCAGTCGTTGGGGTCTACCGTCGCGGGTCTCAAAGCATATCTTTGTAAAGCCAATTTCAGGTTGATTAAAGCCAATAATCTGGTAGAGCGTCCTACCTGTGCCAAGGACAACAAAATCTCCGGTAGTGGGGATATAATCGGGGGCAATAACATTCGTATCTGGCACCTGAGTTGGAAGCAATGGCATGATCTCGCGAATGTAGTCCTTTGCAAAATTGACCCTGTCGGCGAATGCTGTCCATATTGCCGGCGATACTGGGTTCGGGAGAAAGTCGTGATGGTAAAGAACAGGTCCTGAGCATGATAGGAGCTTCCGTCCATTCGTATGGTTCCACCCCCTGCCAGGATGTTCATGAAATGCTTGGAAGAAATAATATGCCTGAGTCGTCGCATGCTCCGCTCCCGTCATCTAGGCGGAAAGCTTGGTGGTAACTGGACCATCCGGGGGCGGGAGCTCTAGGCTGGGAGGTAGGTCTGGAAAGTCTCGCAGGAGTGAAAGGAGTCCATTGGATGTTTGACCAGGTGTTGAAAGGGACATGGTTGCTTCGACTTCTCACCCAGCCTAGCTGTTTGGTCGTACACTTCGATTTGTATAAATGCCAGCAGATCTAATGATGAAAACCTTGTATGCTTTGGCGAGGTGAGGAATGGTATAGGACAGGCTGAGTTTCTCCCTTTTAGGGACTTGATAGTTGTATCCTTGGGAGAAAGAGATCGCTTCTGACCAAAATAAATAAACTGGCAAGTACCTGTAGGTAGGTAGTCATGGCATTGGAATTAATAAAAGAGAAAAAAAAGACATCTACTGGGTATAATATCAATAATCTGGCAGATGAATGAGATGAAGATTTTCACTCTAGGATTTGGCGATACTGGACTGTCTGGCCTGGCTCATCATCAATGATGCTGAGTTACTTTAGAGAAGTAATTACTCACCAGAAATGAGGTCATCTTATAGTCCAGCAGGTCGCAACTTACATCTACCAATATCTGATTCCCATTATCGCAAAGTCACATATTTGACTAGGTAGGCATGCCTATATGGGATACCTGCGCAAATCACGGTGAAATGGAAGTGCTGTGGCGTTTTTAAATGCCACTGGATCAGAATGTTACAAGCAAGATCTCAGTTACGGCTCGCAATCTACTTCTGCTATCTGTGAGATTGGATACCTGCCATTTAGGCCATATCGATCTGCCAACGCACATTACGCTTGCCAGTTTCACCAAACGGTCCTACTGGGAAAACAAGAACTCCACCGTACATACATGTCCTAGGACAGACTTGCAATGCAATGACCATAACTGAAAACCTGTCAACAGTAGCGAACAGATTATGGCATATGCAAGAAGCCAAACAAAACGCTCCAACACGGCAATCTATACTGGAAAATCACCAGCTAGCAGTAGCAGCGGTAGCATTGCCACCCCAGTCGCCGGCATCATTGCCAGTGGCGCCCCAGCTAGCAGAATCACCTCCATTGCTGGCGTTGTTGTCGGTACCCCAACCAGCAGAATCACCTCCATTGCTGGTGTTGTTTTCGGCACCCCAGCTGCCAGCATCACCGTCACCATTGCCAGCGCCCCAACCTCCAGTGTCCTCGCCCTCGATCTCCTCATCGGAGTCGGGCTCAAACTTCAGTTGATCAATGTCGGCGTTCTCGGGGACATACTGCTTCAGGAACTCGGGGATCTCCTGCTTAGTTTCCAAGAGGGTCTTGGTCAGCAGCTCGGCAAGGGGCTCGTCTCTCTCGGTGTAGAAGGAAAAGGCCTGGCCCTTCCGACCGGCTCGTGCGGTGCGGCCTGAAAGAAGATTAGAAGAATTCAAGCATGTGCTTTTACTGGAAAAACTTACCGATTCGATGAGTGTATTCAGTGATACCACCGTGGTCAACGCTGGGAAGGTCGTAGTTGATGACATACCCGACATTGCGAACATCAATACCTCGGGCTGTAACTCCGGTTGCAATCAAGATGGGAGTTGTGCCGTTGCGGAAAGCACGCATAGCATCCTCGCGCTCACGCTGAGTGCGATCAGCATGCATCGAGGTGCAAGGCATGTCCTTGTTGAACAAATAGTCGTCCAGCTCGTCAGCAAGACGCCTGTTGTTGACGAAGATGATCGTTCGCTTGGGTTCAAGCGAAAAAAGAAGATCGCACAGTGCCTGCTTCTTCATGGAATTGTCAACCCAGATGATTTGCTGCTCAATATTGGCATGAGTGCTGCCAACGCGTCCGACATTGATGCGAAGGTGGGAAGCGGCCAGGTGATCCTTTGCGAGCTTTCGGATCTGAGTGGGGAAAGTGGCCGAGAACAGCATATACTTGACATTACCCTCCTCCTGCTCTATCACGAAAAGTTAGTTTGTGACACGATGTACCAACAAAAGAAGAGAATAATACTTACCGCCACCGGAAAGAATCTTGTTGAACTCCTCTTCCCAATCTTGGTGGAGCATTTCGTCAGCTTCGTCAACAACCATGTACCGAACTCGGCGCAGGCTCAAGACAGAGGGACGCTCCATCATGTCGACGAGGCGGCCAGGGGAAGCTACCAGGATGTCACAGCCTCTCTGAAGCTGATAAACCTGGTCTCGCAAGGGACCACCACCATAGATCACCACGGGGCGCAACATGGTGCGGTAACAGAATTTGCGGGCCACGTTGAAAATCTGGATCGCGAGCTCACGGGCAGGACAGACAACAACGACCAGCGGCTCGGCAGTCACAGAAGTAGCAACACCGGCCTCGACCTCGACCGGGTTGGGGCGAGGAGCTGCCAACTTCTTGGCCTTTCCCATCAACTTGTTGATAATGGGAATCAAGTAGGCGGCGGTCTTGCCAGATCCTGTTACAGGTTAGTCTTGACCCTTGGTGATGGGGTAGGAAATTGCAATGCATGTATTCACTGACCAGTCTGAGCAATGGCAATGAGATCGTGTCCCATGTGGATAGCCGGAATCGAGTACTGCTGAATGGGTGTAGGGAAGGTAAATCCAGCCATCCTGATATTCTTCAACATGACGGGATGAAGACCTGCGGCGTCGAAAGACTTGATGGGGATAATGCGCTGCTCACCCTCCTGTCTGACTTCGATCTGAGTGATGCTACATTCCATTAGCAATTTCACTTGACTGTAGTGACACCATAACTTACGTGGTGAAGTCAATGACATCATTGTCAAGACTTTCCTCGCCAAAGAGGGCCTTCTCCAGCTCAGGGTGCTCAGGACCAATATCGCCCATCTCTCCATCCCAGTAGTAAACCTGGGCGTTACCATCCCAGTCTCCGGTGTCATTGGTGGCCATGGCCTGGTAGTCATAGGGAGTGGTCTTCTCCCACTCGGCAACGGGAGCATCGCGATGCTCGAAAGGCAAGGGGGGAGGAACAGGCTTGAAGTCGGCATCGTCAATACCAGCGTCGCCAGTTCCGACGCCCCAATCGCCTGTGTCGGCGTCGGCAGTGGGCTCAGGGCCCCAAGAGTCGGACATTGTGGAGATTGAGTCTGCTGTTATTGAGACTATCAGCTGACAGTTCCCACGAGGCAGAGAGGTTTGAAAAAAAAAATGGAAGATGAAGAGAAGGCACGAAGACAATTTGTTCTGAGGAAAGAACGATGAAACTCAAAACGCCAACAGTGGATCGTGGGTGAATGATACAAATTATGCTGGTATGAGCCCAATGGCGAGTTGAATGATGAGGAACAAAAACAGTTCTTCAGAGAATCAAGAAACCAGAGGAAGGAGTCCTGTGTGTAGATCTTGGGCAGTGGTGATGGTGGAATCGATGAAACGAAAGTGCGACGAAGTGCTGGGAGTCTGGGGAGTGGTAGAATTGAAACAGAAGGGAAACATACAACAACCTGTACGTGCCAGATGCAATTGAACAGTGGTGAGTAAGTGTGGCCTTGACCAGAACGTCTGCTGAAGGTGAAGATGGAAGGTGAAAGGTGAAAGGTGATGAAGCCTCGAGTAAGGCGAGAGGGAGGGGTGATGGGGAGAACTCAAGAATATTGCTACTTACCTTGATGGAAACAGAGAATGAAAACAACTATTCTCAGTAACAGATGAGGTTGATCTCAAAGTGCTGATGCTTTGGGGCGAAAGCTCCTTGAGGTTGTGTTGTGGTGGTGGGAAAAAGAAGAGAAGGCTGCCACAAATTTCCTGAGAATTTAAAGGCAAAAGAATTGCTGCTCGGGTTTCAAAATCAGCCTCAGGCAGCAGAAAAGAGCCTGGCAGAAAAAAAAAAGGCAGAACGCAAACGCAAAGCAGCCGGAATCTTCTATCTTGAAACAGTGGCCGACGTTCACAGGCTTGGATGCTGACGATGGGGGCAGTTTGATATTGGAGGTGCGTGAGGAAGCCACCCAGGTACATGGACAATCGGCTGGGCGACCAGATTGAGCATTGACCGCTGCCTAGGAAGCCAAAAAGGTACGCAACTTCCCTTCTTTATGGGTGATCAAGACTTGTTAGGGAAAGAACGATAGGGTGCCTTTAGAAAATACCTAGAAGACAGTCTGGCCAGTCATTGGGTTACTATCTGGTGCTCCGTTGGATTACTCTGCTCTAGGACAACAAGAGATTGCAGTACTGGTTTCAAACGTCTTTGATATCATTACTTTATTGCTACGCAAGCGTGGAATTATACATCTTCCAATATCGTTGCAAAAAAGCACTGTCTCAAGGCTTGATGTTGATGGAGTTCTTGCCTGTGAAGGTTGTGGGGATTATACCTGGGTCTTACTTTGGCTTCACAAGGCTGATTTGAAACATAGGTACATAATTCAACTAGTAGAAACAAACAGCAGCTAGGTGTTGGATTGGGACACGTTCTTTGAAAACCTTATGTTTAGAAACGGGAACCTGCAGGTCCCTTTGGGTCAAGCTCGTCCGTCTATGCTGCCTCGAGTCTTGATGACGTTTGTACTTTGGAGACTGTGTATGGAGAAGTTGTTTGACTGGGCAATGTCTGATAGGCAGCAAGGCATCTTTTCTCTAAAATCGAATTATGAATTCAACTTGAAGCAATGTTTACAATTTCCAGATGTACATTGCAAGCTGAGAGCCTTTCACGGACACATCAATATCAATATATTACTTCTAAGTATGTTGTGCTGTGTATACTGCTTTACGCTCTGCCCTGTTCAATCCTTCTTCTCAGAGCAGAGCAACTCAACATCAATAAGAAGGTTGGGTGGGTACTTTGGTTTGAAGGTCGTTGGAAACGTTGCTGTGCAGCATCTTCGGCAGGCCACTTGCATACATGTTTAACAGCACATGCATGATCGTCCAACACGTTTCTGTCCTATAAAGTGAACTGTAATGTTGCAGCGCTAAAAATTACTCCGTGGCATGCAGTCATAAGGTGACTTGTGTAAGAGGTTTCTACTATAATGACCCACAGTTCAATGTTGGCCGGATTGCCTGAATGCATTCCTAGGCGATAGATGGTGTACTGACAGTGCTGGAACGCCCCAATAGATACTAAGAGAAACGGTCACTTTATTTGCCATAAGTAACGCTGGAGCGATTTCCTCCTTCGTAACAAAGCCGAATTGTGAAGATTCATCGTATCTGGCAAAATATGAGCAGCATCTGCGGGTTCTAATTATGCTTGACCGATGCTCAACTGCCCCTAGTCTCTTTGCACTTGTAATGACAGTATGTCAAGTTCCACAAATCAGGAACCATGATTTTGCATCTGCAGAGGTGCAAGTATGATGTGTCTGCCACTGATCAGGGACAAACAGCCAAACCTTTGCTCTGGCCTTCGCGTGGAAGAGAGAAATTGAAATTTAGACTTTCATCAATCATTGGTAGCGACGATAATTGGTGATCTTCACATGATATTATTTGAGTATAGTGCCCCAAAATTATCAGATCGGAAAATGTAGTTGAAGGCGAGTTACGCAATCAGGGTATCTTGATACAAATGAACGACCTACTCTTGTCTCTATCCAGTCTAATTTCTGTATAATGAAATCACATGAGGTAGCCTTCCCAGAGCCCCTTGTTTTCATCATAGCGTTTCGTATCCTCGTAATCGCCCATGCCGTCCTTGAGCGCCTTGTCCAGCTGCGCCGCCGAGCGCCCAGCCATGCCGCCCTCCTTCTTGGCCTCCTCGACGCCCTTGCGAAAGGCCTCGTAAAAGTCTCGGTAAAAGACGGCCTGACGGTCCTCGCGGTCGCGGTACATGCGCCCGTCCTCGTCCCGCGGTGCCGCAAAGAGGCCAAGATATCCATAAGGGTCCGGCGTCGTGGGCAGATGGCTAAAATTCCGGAACCACTGTCCCGCGTCCCAGGGTACGGGTTCGGGTCGCTTGAAGCCGCATTCCAGGAACTTGGCCACGACGCTCATTTGTCGCGGGTAGGAGGCGCCGTACTTTTTGGCACCGAATGTCGTCCGAGGAGCTGATGTCCAGCCTCCTTTTCCAGGCGTCGGACCGGTCGTTTTTGGCTTGATGTAAGTGGTCCAGCCCAGAATCGAAGTGAAATCCTTTAGGGGTTTGACCCAGCATCCGGCACTCTCAACAACCTGATCGCCGGCCACTTCCAGCAGCCACTCGAGGTAATTGAGTCCATCGTCCTTGATCTCCTGCGATATATGTGTCATGGCTCCTCGAATGTACCGCATGATCTTTTCGACTTCAGACCGGATTTCGGGGGCAGGTATGGCTCGCAGTAGCTTAATGAGCTGGTTGCGCACCGAGCCAGTGGCGTCTGTCATAAGAGGAAGCAGCTTTGAGAGCAAGGTCGGTGTGCCGACAGGGTTGAATGGAGGAGTCGTCGAGAGCTGTCCCGTGAGGTACGCTAGCGCATCGCGACGTTGACTATCCGTCCTCGAGGTGAGGAGGGACAGATGGTGCTTGAATCGTTCGAGCACATCGGGCGCATCTTCCTTGAGCTGCTCATGTAGAACAATGGCTTTTGGTTGTCAGTGTACGATCGATATTAAGGCGAATATTGCGTGCCCGAGACCATGTTGGCTCAACGTAGAACGGCACTTGTGGGATGATATACTCACATTTGGATTTGAAACTCGTGTCGGTAAAGTTGGATGGCTTTGCTTTGGTCTTGCCAACTTTCAACTTGGGCTTCTGAAAGTCCTTTTGCTTCTCCTTCTTCTTCTTTGTGCTGGACCCCATCTTGACCCGATCATCGCTGGCGAGATGAGCAAGTCTCCAAGATCGAAGCAAGCAGAGACTCCAGTCAAGCACTCGTCCAGTACATAACAGTCCTCTCTCTGGCGGCGGGCAGTCGATTCTCAAAAATTCCTTATCGCTGATAAGCACATGCCGGGTGCTATATTAGCGCCCCGGCCGAATCGGGACTCCACAGGGAAGCTTTCAGTGGAAACATTGGCCGCTGATCCCCGGAATGTGGCTCAAGCTCCCCTGAAAGTCAACAAAGTGCCCCGCGATGCGCTGGAACAACGCACCTGCGTAAGTCCTTGTTCAGCCCAAAGACCGCAGACGAACGGTTTTCTTTGCCCAACAACCTTGAAAGTCACCAAAACCACCAAGATGGCAGATAAGACACTGGTAGGCAGATATCTTTATGGAGAAGGCTTGGGCATGACTAGTCACTAACGTCCCTCTTCAGTCACCAAACGGAATCGACTCCGTGGATGAAGCCCTCGAGCGGCTGTCGAGGAAACCCGGTGTCAAGGGCTGGCTCATGCTAGACCGCTCAAGCGGCGCAATACTCAAGACCAACGGGCAGATATCTACGATTCGACCGGCCAAGTCGAGCAACACCGATACGTCACTGCCCACACCCACGGGCGGTTCGTTCTCGGCCGATGTTGCGAGCCCCACTGAAGGCGACAATGAGACGCAGGCAGCACAGGAGTTGGGAAGCATGGTTTGGGCATTTCTGAGCACAGCCGGCAGCCTAGTACAAGAGATTGATACAGAGGTATGTCTTCGCGCAACCCCGGGCGCCGTCGGGCAGGGAAATGCTAACTTGTGTACGATTCAAGGACGAACTCAAGTTATTGCGGTTGCGGACAAAAAAGCAGGAACTTGTCGTCGTACCCGAGACCAAATATATACTGGTTGTCATACATGATACACCGCCGGCATGAAAGCATACAGATGTTCTAGGATTAAAGAGATACTACGACTTTTGTCCATGGAGAGACATCATTTGTCGTGGGCTGCATCTGTACCAAATATTGCCCGACAGCTGCTAAGGCGCTCAGTTTCGGCATATTGAGTCCGGGGACTTTTTGGCGGCAATGATGAGCTTGGCGATTTCTCCTTCGTCGCCGGGAGTCAAGGCGTTTTGGGAGTTTGCTTAGTATGTGGCATGATACCCTGGAAGGCGAAATGTAGGAAGCATCGTATGAACTACATTGCAAATAGCAAATAGCTAGGCATCCCGTACTAGATTAATCTATTCTTCTTTCAAGGGCCATTTGTTGGCAGGCCAGTGTCTTGTCAAACTCGTACGAGTAATCAATAGATATGCGCCAATCAGTCTGTCTCTATCGCAGGTGTACGCATTGGTTGTATTCGAAGTTGATCGTGCCAAGAAAATGAAATTGGACAAACAATGCACCACCGTATTGCAGCATCGTATAACAAAAGCTACATAGATATAGAAAAACAACTTCATCAGTCCGCAAATAGATGAAAGTTAGATAAGTGGGCCTGGCATAGAGTACAGTACCGTTTCTTGACTGGTATTGCACATTTCAACGTCTTTTGCCGCAGGACAAAGTTTCCGGAAACGCCACAATTTTGTGATGAGCCGAGATGAAGTGAATCAACAGTCTCAAGCGTGTATAATTGCATTTGCCACACCGATTTCTGCAGAAATGCCAAGTCCCAGCTGGGATTGTTTCTTCTGCGAGCTAATGCAGGCGAGCCGCGAGAAAAACCTGTTCTTTGGGCTGCTCCATCTTCCCGGGTGGGAACACATTGGATCTACTATGTAGAAGACACACCGATCTTGAGCACGCGAGTTGGCGAGTTACGTGGGACCCGACGTGATGAGTGACAAAAGGCTTATACGGTAGTTGGAGCTGGGTATAATGGGAAACATCTTAAGCTGCTAAAATACAGGTGGAAAATATATTTGTGCTTGAATTAGGTGCCGGGTCATATTCCTTAGCCATGTTAGTTCTGACCGACAGTGCTTCAGACTGTAGCGGCATCTCACCATACATCAGCCGCGGGGGGCACCGTGGTAATCTATTGGCGATACGCCGGGAAAAGCTGAACCAGGGCATTATAAGAGAAACGTCGATTTGCAAGCCAGCTAAATGATCTGAAACGCATCGAGCCACAAGCCACCTGGCAGATGGCTTACTCGTGAGTGGCCCAGTGAATCTATACGATCCTCCACCTATGACGAAAAGGGGGGTGGACGCGAGATAAACCAAGCAGGTGAACTTGCGGTGCAGCACAAGCAAGCAAGCAAGCCGCCCTTCTACGCGAGCTCGATCATAATGGTAATCACTGGATCGATACACGTAGCCCAGAGGATGAAATATGCACCACGTATAACCTGGCAGGTAATAGCAAAGCTGATGAGGGTGCGCGGGGATTGCAAACCTGCTTTTTCCCCCCTCTGAACGATTGGGCTTGCTTTGGTCGTGCTAGGTGGGCTTGCTTGTTGAATACCATCCACTCCAGGATTGATTCAATTGACGTTGCTGCCCCTACAGTAGACAAAATGGATGAACTCGTCCTATCTTGAATCCTCAGATCTGAAGGTGGTTAATACCAGCTTGGGTGGAAAAATATAGGAAAGTTTCCTAGCAATTTATCCCACCTCTTGAGGGCATTGAAGGTCAGTGGTGGCACCGTGGAATTGCAAGAGGACCTTGTTTTGGCCAGTATACTACTGCAGTCTTTGGGTTGTTCATCCTCTGCTTTTATATTTCTCTATTCTATTTTGACTTTGGCCCCTCGAGGCGGACCGTACCTTCGGCGTCACGAAAGCTGCAAGTGCCGTTGCATCAGGTCGTCCCTACTCGGCCTGGTTGGCGAATAGGCAGTGAAAAGGTTGGACGTTTTTGGAGGATGCGGAGAATATGCCGTTGCTCTCAGGATGGAAACGGTCAGCCCGAGAGCTCATCTCGGGACCAACAAGAAACGGGGCTGCAACTGCAAATACAACTGCGACGACGACGACGACAACAACTGACGAGACTGAGGCGAAAAAACGTGACAAATCGTCGAACCGGCAGTCTGCGGGCGTTTTGCTGAAGGATCTAATTCGCAAGGCGAAGCATCCGCTCATTAACACGACATCGTCTCCATCCGCGGACACCGCCCCTAGGCCTTCAATCGCCGAAGGCGCGAGTAAGGCCGCGACTAAGTCGGTGAGTGCAACTTCAGATCCATCAAGCTCCTCCTCGCTTTCTCCCCTAGGTTTGAATTCAGCTGCCGGACATCTGCGGGCTCGTCTCATGCAGCTGGTTGCTCCAACTCCAGTGAGGGGACGAGCCGTCTGATGATCTCGAACGATTTGCTGCGGAAAAAACTCAATTGCTTTCTTTGTTTTTCTTGTTGTTCTTGTTATTTTTATTCATCTCCCTACTCTTCTGCCAAAGTGGGGTGGGAAGCTGTTAGCGACTCTCGATTCCCATTTTCTCGCGGGTACGCACGTGTTATATACTCGGACTACTCGGTACCTAGCTGCTCTTTTTCATCCTTTTGGGTTTGGAACGATTTTCGAGCGTCTAGCTACCTCAGTTACTACATGCTCTATTGGGATCAATAGTAGAATTCGAATACCATACTGACTACCAGGCCCGTTGGCCCCTCTTGATTGTTAGCAGTCCTCGAGCTCTACAATACCCGTTTCAGGAACAACCACCACCACTCCGTCCAGGCGACCCACTGTCGTCGGCTCAAACAAACCTCTGCCGTCTCCGCCTCTTCCTGGATCGGTAGACGCATCCGATGGAATTGCCAAGAAGCCCGTCTTGAAGCTGGAACGCATCATGGCGACTCTAACCAATGCCGAGATCGAGAAGCTGTTCTCGGGCGCGCCCCAGTATTTTGCCCGGTCTCAGGGTACTGGCACCGGTGCCCCGCATCCGTCCGTGGCTTTCCCCTGGGACGAGGACCTGCGCATCCGGGACCTGACTGATCACACCCAGATTGAAGACGATGCATGGGGCAGCATTACCACCGTTCCGCGGCTCATCCAGCGCGATCCGCTGTCGGCAACTACGCCCTCTGGAAGGAAGCGGCCCCATTTCAAGGTCAAGGCCCAGGAACGGCCAAACATGCTCAGCATGCAGGGCCTTGAAAAGGGCACCATGGGCTATCAGGCTGCTCTGGAGCTGTCTGTTGCCGATGCCCTCCAAGAGGAGCAGTATGGCTTTGATAGCATTGGCTCCAAATCCACCGTTGTTGTTCAACAGCGCCAGCGGCTTATAACATCGAAAGACGGGCTTCGCCACATGGAGGAGGCCGCTGTCATGGAACAATTGCTGCAATGCGAGGAAAGATATCAAGGTACCAACCCAGAAAGGTCATGCAGTGCTCACGACCTCTACCATGACCTGTTCTCCAAGGTTTTGTACCCGCCAACCAAGGTTATTGATCGAAACGACCCCTATAGTCTTCCAGTGCAGATACACGCGCTAGTCAAGGTCTTGGCAGCCCCCAATGCCTGGATTGACTTCTCGAGGGTGGAATGGCGCATTCGATTGGGTCAGATACTCTGGGGCTTTCCCATGGATGATGAGCTGGAAGACGGTTCATCGATCAACGAAGGCCTTCATGATCAGGATAGAAGTGAGGAACGATACTGGTTGCTGCTGCAGGTTATGCTTGCATGCGAGCTGCTGTTGCGTCTCGATGCGATCACGGAGGGTGATGAGTTTGGCGGCGGCAACTTGAAAGCATCTGAAATACACAAGTTTGAAAAGGAAGCAAACTTGTCAGTGAGGTGGTCATTACTTCTCGCCCGAACCTGGCTCGAGAATATCACCATTAACAAGACAGATGCGCCAACTTCAGGAACGGCTACTCCGAAAGGATGGCTGACTTCTCTGACAAGCAAAATGACTTTGAAACACGACCATTTGCATGGTTTTCATCATGCCGACCATGGTCACCATAGACGCTCACTTAGTCATGTGGAGCACCACTACACGATTCAGGGCCGCTTCATCGAACGACAAATTTTTGGCTTGACACAATTCGCTCGCAAGCTTCGATGGCCTGACATTGAGTCGTATCTTACGCGTGTATCTATAAACACGCCCGTCATTGCCCAAGCAACCCCGATCAACTCCCCTTTGCCAACAAGCGACACCCAGCGGTCATCATACTTTGGAGACAGCAAGAGATCAGGCGAGCTTGAAAGAAAGCCGTCGAGGAGACGCAAGATTGGCGCAGCATTGCATTTCGCTGGATGGCTGTCGAAGTCTTATGTTTCTGGCTTGGTACTTCCTGGAGAAGCACTTTCCCATTTTCTAATGTCAACGTTGCTCGAGAACGACCAAGAAGCCATGGCCAGACTGGGACCCATGGCAAACCTTTGCGGCGGGTTTGTTTATGGTGAAAAGAGCTTTTGGAGTACTGCGTGCATAGTCGGGCGGGTTTTGGCTGCTGGCAGAGGCTCTGCCGAGTGCATGGGCTGGATCTCATCCGACGTACTCCCCGAGGGCCTCTCCGATGGCTGGCTTAACATTGACGTGGATGAAGTGCCCGGTAAGTTCCCTTGAGTATAGTCTGTCTTGTCAAGCTATGGTTGGACTAACATTTTGAAAGAGGACATTGCCAAGACTGGCAAGAAGGCACGCCTTTGGGGCAAACTTGCTATTGAGCGCGAGTCGGATGTATTGGGGGATGCCGATTTCTCAAACGTTCTGCCGGCCGACTTTATTGTCCCTTACGAGAACAACCACGCTGAACCACCCCCGGCCAACATAAGAATCAGTCTCAAGTCTCTAGATTTGAATGCGCAAGTGGACAGTATCCAGTCGACTCCAGTCTTTGAGGACATGACGCCATTTTCTGAGCACTCTCAGACTTCCGAAATTCGCACGTACCCAGCTTCTTTGGCGTTTTCAATGACACACGACGGTCTTGATGGCGAGCATGAAATGGAGTACTCCCTTGCAAGAGATGTATACTTTGTCACCGCGCACCCTTGTGCGCCCTCGAGTTATGTCAAATACTTCAAATCACCGTCGAGCCCCACGATTCAGCAAATCGATCTTCAGAATCAAGACTGGAATGCCAGGGCTACCGCGCCAGCCAATATCACAGGTACGTATCTCATCCTCAGGTTCATCGAATCACGAATACTAACCGTCTATCTAGGACACCCACTGCATAAATATTATACTTACAAGGCAATTCACTTTGTCGACTTGATCAACCGACCCGAAGCAACACTTGAGGAGCTTCTCGGCATTGACTCGACCTCTACCAATAATCTAACGGCCGCAACTTCAAAGGGACCTCGAGTTCTGGTGGTTGATTGTATCACGGGCGTTGCTCCGCCTCCCTCGCCCGAAATGGCGAGCCTGTCTCGAATGAGCTCCATATCATCATCTTTTGGTCTCGAGCCTACCGTCACACAACTCCAACTGCCAACGCCACCACGAGAAACAGTCGAGAGACCAAACACAACGGCATCTGCAGGCAACAGGGTCTCTAGAATTGATCCACCCAGCCCCGACTCAAAAATGAGGCTGCCCACTCGCAGGAGGCAATTCGGATCCGATCTGGAGATTCTTGTGCGAGCTCTGTGCGCTGAAAGAGGCTGGAATGCGCTCATCAGTCGCCGTCGCAGAGGTTGCTTGGCTTGTGCCATTCGAGAAGCCGGAGCGTTGGGCTGGAAGGTCATTATCCGCGTCGAATGATGTATCTGATCCATCCTACAGGGACAGGATCTTCTTTTCTATCATGTATTTTCTTCGTTACGTTTTCCATTGCATACGAGGTCTGGGCCATGACATGCTCATGCCGGGAGTCGCGGGATCAAAATAAATAGACGGAACAAGGCGGGACAAAGCAAAAAAACGGCCTGGCATGTATATCAACAGCGCATCTCATGTTCAAACGATAGATACCCTTCTCCGGTTTTAATAATACTCCATACTTCACAGATTGTCTTGTTCCACGTTGTGTTGTATTTTATTTAATTGGCTTTTTATCAAGGTAGGAGGAGGAATATGATTAGCCGACGAGACCACGCAGCTAGACTTGCGCTTCTGATCCCAGCGAAACACTCCAATCGGTCTGTCTCGGGATTTAAGGGTCTCATGTATCTGCCGTTGGGGCAGAATATCTCTGGACTAGCATGCGAGCGACACAAGCATATCTACTGTACACTTCGCGTTGTTGACTCGACCACAGTTCCCGTTCCTTATCATGCAACTTGTCAAGCTCGGCGCTTGCGATATGCGCCGGCCAGTGATCGCCGGCGAGGGTCAGCAAAAGCCGTATAACGAGAAGATTAACATGGTCGTCTCCCGTGCTCTTCATGGCGTTGTGGTAGCCTTCGAGCGTAGTCTCCCAGGTCTGGTCGGAAGAGAGACGTGCGCCAGCCCGGACGAGCCAAAATAGCTTTCGCATGGCGGCATCATCCCACGACGGCCCGGTGAGCAGGCCATCGGGGATCTGGGTCTCGCGGTGGACTTCGATCCAGCTCCACTCGTCGTCGAGTGCCGGGAGGGGATCGCCGCGTTCGGCCTGCGCGGCAAAGGCGGCGTAGTCGTGCTCAAAGTATCGACTGGCCGAGGTGAAGCTCCCGATACCTCCAGCGTCCGCTTCATCTTCTTCCGGCAGCTGGTCTTGGGAATCAGCATCGAAAGTGGAAGGGGGGTCGCCCCAGAGCTTTTGGTGCTGGTAGAATCTGTCTCTAGCATATTTCTGTGCCCAGGAGTCCACGCAGCTCAGGATGAAGGATATGTCGACCCAAGAGTACTGCAAAAGAGCAGACTAGATCTTCTGTTAGATGCAAATGAAACCATAGCCATGACAAGGAGATGCTTACTTGGAACTCTGGATTCCCACCAAACCGTGCCACGTCCTGCTGCCAGTCGTGATAGCTGGCGACCCGGAGATGATTTGTCCTGACCACTCCGAACCAAACGTCCCAGGTTGGACCAAAAGCCTGCAAAAAAGTTTCGCGCCTCGTTGACGGGCTCGACAAGAGTTGTCCGACACGCGGGCCGGATCGAGCAAAGTTGATGTTTTCGCTCATCCAAAAGATACGTTCCACGATTTCGAGGGGTAGCTCCCTCTCCAGATACGAGGCCTTGGGCCGTTTTGCCACTTTTTGCCTCTTCTTTTTCTTCATGTCACTACTCGTGCTTTCCCGCGACCTGCCACGGCGCTTGCTGCTGTTGCTACCGCTGTCCTTGCGGTGACGACGAGATGCTGCTGATCCTACGTCAAAGACTATGGGCGGCGCACCCTTGCGACGGCGCTTGCCGGGGATCCTGATGGGTGTCAACTCCATCCTGGCGACGAATACAGCGACAACGACGACGACGACGACGACGACGATGGTGTCTTTATGCGATGCCAAGGTCTTGGGATAGCCATTAGTGCTGTGGAAGAAGCACCGTCGAGTACCACGTTGCTCCCCCGGCCTGGTTTCTGACCTGGCTGTCGATGACCGGCATCATATAAAAAGCAAATGGAAGTCAAAACGCGATTCAACGTTGGTTGGAATGCGACTACAAACGACTATGAGAAAGAATGAATTTAATGGGGTCCACTTTAGCAAGCATCAGTGGTGGGCGCCGAATACTCTAGGTTAGTTACCTATTCCATACTTGGGTACCTAGGTAGTTAGGATAAGTCAATTCGGTACCTGCGTTTAATCTTGTTACTTTTTTCTAAATGTTACTCGATAGGATTAAGTAGAGCATCATTACCTTGACATTGATCTTGACTCTCTAGATATAGATATGACCCGCCAGCCAATGGGTATACTACATTACTTCAGCGCATGTTCACTATGTGATTGGCTCTGTCCTCTGCTGTTCCCGTGTCTCAGTGGGTCCCACACCTGCAGTTAGCACTGAGCTCTTCACAGTTGTTGGCCGCAAAGTTTTAGCGCAAGCCGCAAAGGGGAGGCCGCCGCTTAGCTTTGGGCGTTCTGGACTTGGGAAATTTTTTGGGACGGGTTTTCTTTGAGAATAGTATGTGACGACATAACGCAAGTGTCGCTAAGAGCTTCAAACCAAAAACATTTCAACAACAAAAAGTGGTCGCCGATGTGAAGCCACGCAAAATCCCTTTGGAAACCTCCCCACCCAGATTCACTCGGGATCAATTCGCTGCTCAGAAACCACACAATGGTGTCGGCACGTCCACCGGTGCCGTCGATAGGACTGCTCCGGTTCCTGCGCTCTCAGTCCGAGAACCTGAGCTTCTTCAGCCCGAACCAGGCACACTGCCTCAACCAGGCAGCCTCGCGCAGAGCCCTTTGTCCGGCCAGGAGACAGCTCAACACGGCCACACGGGTCAGCGTTGACTCTCATCCCGACACGCAGCAGCTGCAATCCTCTGTGCTCGACATTCAGCGACTCTTCACGGCGCGTTCTGCTGCCAAGGACTCGAGATCGCTCCGAAACAGGCGCCCTGCCACGTTTTTGCCCGCCGCTGGAGGAGCGCGATACAACTCCTCCAATGACTCTTGTACGCCAACACTGAAAGAGAGGCTGTGGGGCCCGAGGACGAGGAAGCTGCCGAACGCGCTGAAGCCCGACGACCTGCCCGAGCACAACGAGGATGGCGATACCAACTCCATGTTCAATACGAGGAGACAGCGCGCGCAGCAGGCCGCGCTCGAGCCGCGACTGCGCTGTACCGAGGTGGACGAGAATGGAAATGCTATATTGGTCGACGGCGAGTTCAAGAAGACGGAGCTAATTGCCAGAGTAAGGGAAAACCTTGGAACCCCCCACACTCGGTTTGATATACTGGCTGACACGGGTGCACATAGTTTGGGCTCCAACCTCGTGATCTCCGAAAGATTGATTCGTCCAATCTTCCTCACATTCTAGTCCGCGAACGCGCCATTCTGCTCAACCTGCTGCATCTGAGGGTTCTCATCAACCACAACAGAGTTCTGCTCTTTGATGTGTACGGTTCTCGAAGCTCCCATGCGCAATCCTCGTTCATGTATGAGCTGCAACACCGGCTCAAGCAGCAGACAGTCGGAAGTGGACCGGCTGTTCCTTATGAGTTCCGCGCTCTTGAAGTGGTCCTTCAGTCTGTGACACAGGAGCTCGAGGCAGATTTTGAAACCGTCCGCAACCCCGTGATCCGCATTCTCAGTGAGCTGGAAGACGATATCGACCGCCACAAACTACGCATTCTCCTGGTCCTCTCAAAGAGAGTCAATACCTTTGAGCAGAAGGCTCGCCTGGTGCGCAGTGCCATCGAGGATCTCCTCGAGGCTGACGATGATCTGGCCTCAATGTATCTGACTGAAAAAACTCATGACATTACCCGGGCTCCGGATGATCATACCGAGGTGGAGATGTTGCTCGAGTCTTACCACAAGTTTTGCGACGAAGTTGTCGAGGAAGCTGGAAACTTGGTCTCGGGTATTCGAAACACTGAGGAAATGTAGGTGCTCAGAGTACACATTTGAGAAGATGATGAATGCTGACACTATTTGCAGTCTTCGGGCGATTCTGGACGCCAACCGAAATGCCCTCATGCTCTTGGATCTGAAATTCAGTATCGGCACTCTAGGTCTTGCCATGGGTACCTTCATTGCCGGTTTGTATGGTGCGAACCTCGAGAACTTTATTGAAGAGACCAATTGGGGCTTTGGTGCCGTGACCGGAGTTTCCATCATCTTGTCCATCTGGGTCTGTATCTACGGCTTGAAGAAACTACACCGGGTCCAGCGAGTCAAGATGCAGAGTGATGAAAAGGTCAACCTGGAAAAGGGATACTCGTGGTTCCAGGACGAAGGCCACGCCGGACTTCTCGATCCCCGCAGCCGTGAAAAGCTCCGCCGCATCAACCAGATGAAGCTGAACACCGTCACCAAGAAGAGATGGTGGGAGATATAATGTCAGAGGACCTGCCTTGAAAGAGACGAGGCTTGGATGATTTTCGCACAGCATTTCTCAAAGGCGTTGTCTGTTTTTTCTCAAGCAGCTTTTTTTCTTTTTCTTCTTGCGTTTGGATTCGTCGTTTGTTTCTAAAACGACGAAGTGTAACATTTGAATTCGGGATTAGAGTTTGGCGGTTACGGTATCTCTCGCCTCTGTATGAAGATGATTGTGATCATAAAAAGATATACCCCCTCATCGAACATAGACTCCACCTCGCTCAATAATGAGAAAAATACACTATTGCATAGACACACTTTAATGCCATTACAAGTCCGCAAAAGCACTTGAAACGCAGATTCGTGGCCATGTACCTTGACAGCTTACCACGGTCCTGTAGTATGTATGTCTTGAGACTTTCCGACTTTCCGGAAGTAAGTATTCGTCTCCTCTGTTATACTTTGTTAGACCGTTCTATTTTGTTAGACTTTCCAGCAAGACATTGTCGCTGCCAAGTCAAACTATAGTCCATCCTATCAAGGTACTGTATGGCTCACAGAACATGAATGAAAGGAGACACACATGATGCGAGATTGGCATTTCCTTCCCTTGTAGTCGAATCACCATTGAGAATATGATTGATGATCATAATTGGGGCAATGACGTTCTTGTTTGACACGCCGTCCATGCTGCAAGTCTACCTACATTGCTTGACGAGATCAAACCAAAGCAGCAGAAAGCAGTCACGCACCAAGGATTCCTGCAGCAATATCTCTCTCCATCTCTCTCCGGAGTGCAATCAGTCTTTTTTTTTTGTCTATGAGGGTCAAGAATCACAATATGACAAGGGCAGTAACGCACAAAAGTCATCGATACAGGCCCATCGGCCACCCGTTCGATGTATCCAACCAGCATACCCCCAGCACTACCATGCCGACATATCCTAGGACCAACACACGTCTGCAGGTCTTCTGCGAAGAGTGAACCGGCGAGCCGAATCGGGAAGAGAAAGGTGTCGAAAAGAGATTGGACCCGTCGTCACCCGAGCCGCCACACGCAAACAGACCCTTTCGAATTTTGTACATTGTACACACCACAACCCATCCTGATGAAAGTATCCCAATTGACCAAACATTCATGTTTTCTTGGTACACCAAAGTCCTCCAAAGTCGCCAAGGCAAATAAAAAAATAATAAAGTAAAAACAACCTCTTGGCCCCTCCTCCCCTCCTCGGCTACCCACGTACATGAATATCACGATTACGTTTAGAGATTTGAACCCTCCGCACACACACCCCATACCTAATCCGTCTCGCCGGAGAGGGGAGGAGGGGACTTCTCATGCAAATATTTCTCACGCCACATGGCAACATTAGCCCTTACGGGAGAGAGAGAGAGAGAGTTAGATGGAGTCAAAGGGGCGGACATAATCAAGTCATACCATTGATACAAGGTCTTGTTCTGAAATCTTGAAATCCATCTACCTGATTCCAGAGACATTACTTGGACGGGTTCGTGTATTGCATCACCCCGCGTTTGATGTGAGAGGCCTTGGCCTGGCCGAGATCTCGTTTTGAATCAGCATCATCATGAGTCACTTTGATGTATTGTAAGCAGTTTTGTTTCTCATATCATTGCCGTGGCACACGCGACCATGGCATGGTATTGCTGCCTACCAGGGAGGGAGAAAAGTAGAAAGTAAAGTGGTCATGGTCGCTAGCTGCAGACAAAAACTTGAGTCTCGCGAAAAGAAGGGCATCAGCTCAAGAGGCGTAGTGCAATGATGCGTCATTGTTCATGGTATAACCCTGAGTAATTTGTTGCTTTCGAGAACACGTACGTACTGTGACTCGAGGCATGTGATGCCCATGTGATGAGGATGACAAAACTGCAAAAGTTTGTCGAATTAAAAGTACACTTTGCTTGTGAGTTTATCTTGTATTTGTTACCTTTCTCTGACAAGAAGCAATCAGGATGGATGGAATGGACGAGCTGCTACCAAGTCTTGACTTGGCGCTCTTGTAGGTTGAGATACCAATCAATGTCTCTATAGATTGGTGTTTTCATACATGGCCCCAGTAGAGCAGCCCGTCCGTGCATCGCATCTGCCATGTCGTGTATATAGTCCCAATCCTGTCTTGTTGGAGCCCAAAGTGGACTTGCTTTGAAAGGACAAAACAACAGAGACTTACCAGCCATACAACTTGCGATTATTTTGTTTTCTCCCCTGATCTATAAGGGAACCCATTTTTGAAGTTGCCACCTGTCCAGCCATCTATTCAGGTCAATGATACCCAATACCATCATCCCAAAAAGACGAGAGGACACAGCCAACACGGAAGTGGAACTTCGCCTCACTCATGGGATCGTGCAAAAGTCAGAAACCTAGGTAAGCATCTTCCGGCATCCCGGCTGATACGTAGAATGAAAGAGTCGCTCGGGACCACCTATTCATCCATCGTGACCTTTGTCGTCACCGAGTCTTCTGCCTGAGCCCCACCTCGTTCGCCTCTACTTACACAGGCTTGTGGGCGTGTAGAAGGACACAAACCCGACGATGGCTTGTGTGTGAGTAATGATGACAGGATGAATAAAATGAAATGAAACATTACCTGAGCAAAGTATCACTGTGCACATGGTGCTCAATATTGCAGTGAAATTTTTCACCTGTGCACCTGGCCAAACCTGCCTGGCCTGGCGTCGCTGGTGGTGCTCATCATGTGCGTGCTTGATACTTAGCGCTTGCGTTGCCTAAAGTGGCAATCATAAGCCAGCCTGTCGCAGCTGTTTCTATCGACCCGACCGACCGTTTCTTGTGTGTGTTAGGTGTGAGTGGGGGATTAAGGGGGCCGGCCATCCTATCCTGTTGGTTGTAAGCTTCCTTAAACAAGAATCCACCCGCGATGAGTCACCTGGCAAGCAAGCATGGATGTCGGCGCCGGGCCAACGAGGAGATTGATAGTACCTACATACGCATAGGACGTTGTTATCCTGAGGTATCAACGAGGGAAAATCTTGCATCGTTGGCTCATTCCACCCCCTCATCGTCAGTTTCTTGGCGGCGCTCTTCTTCTGTTCCGCTTCGTTTGTGAGATCCACGAAGTCGAAGCAGTTTGCCAAGTGCTCAGATCAGATTGACCAATGAGATCAAACTTTTTCTATTGCCTGAGATTGAATAAAAAACTGCAAGCAAAATGATTAGATAGATTAGCACATTATACTCAAAAGAGAGTCCATCTCGAGACAGAGAATCTGACCCTCTTTATCATAATGTTTCAAGACACGCACTTATCATTTGATTCCCTGGCAAGTCGAGGTTCTTTTTTCTTTTTGGTAACTGTAATGTGTGAGGTTCCCAGCTTTGAAGCCCTTTTCTTTCAGATTATGTACTATCTGCGAGGTTGTGTATGTTTGTCTCAAGCTTTTGGTTCAAGCAAGCTCTCCTCGATCTAGTTTGCGCAACGCCTTTTCAGGTCAGATAGGTGTAATCATGCGCTTTTGTGCTCGTTGCCAAGCGCGTCGTCGGTTGTGTGTTTCCACGGCTCCGGCGACGCAGCTGGTGAAGATTTGATCTCGTCCCGAGGCGTCCAATGACGCCTGGAAAACAACAGAAAAAAAATTAATACTCCGTCTTGATGCGTTGCAGTACCTTGGGTATCCCACGATGTCGAGAAAATGACAAAAAGCAATCGCCTCGCATCGTTCTAGAGTTTTCCACACAAAACTGACCACGAACCTGCATTACCTTTCGATTCCCATCGCCTGGCCAAAATCAAATGTTGTTGTTGTTGTTGCTTTCCACCCCTTCCTGAACACCTGAAAACCACGGTTTTTTTTCGGCCGCCTTGGTCGAGTTGCTTTCTCGCTCATCGTACAACAAAAATCGCCAAACCGCCGCAAACCCAATGCATCGATCCTGAAAATGCGAGAAAGAACGCGCTTTTCATCCGGCCTTGGTCGTCTATTTGACTAGATAGTGCCAAGTTGGTGCAAGCTGCCTTGAAACTCCTGTGTGGCTGTAAAACAAAAGAGACATCCTATTATTGTCACAAAGTATATCTTATAGTCGTGCGGCGGGAGTTTAGAGGCCAGTTGTATGGTTCGCCCGCCTTTTATCATAGAATACCACCCCACATGCCCGGGCCGCCGAGGCCGCCCATGGCAGGGTGAACCGATGGAATGGTGATTGGAAGAATAGATGCATCCGTCGAGTAGCACATGCGCTTCGAACCATACTCGCTGCAGAGCAGACCGCGCACGTTCTCTTGAAGCGGGCACTCCATCGACGTGGGCCGGCTGCGCTTGGAGCCGGCCATGGTATTGACCGCATGGAAAGTGAAAGATGAGTTCTGCAGTTCCTGTAGCGCTCGAGCAGCGTCGGCAGCAGTGTCGTCGTTTTCGCAGCTTGACTTCGCCAGAGGAGTGTCGAGCGACATCTCCATAAGGTCCTTGCCCACCGGGCCGGTGTAGGACTCTGGCGAAGATGTGATGCAGTTCTCTTCATAATCTTCGCGGACCGAGGCAATGGTAGGTCTCATGCTATACCTCTCACTGCACAGCTTCGCAGAGCGGCATCGCGCCTGTACATCCAATTTGGTTGACGGCGCGCTGACCAGCGACGAAGCAGATGAGATTGAGGAAGAGCGTGAGGTACGGGAAGTATCCGAAACCATAGACTCTGGCGAAGAAGCTGTAGAGACTGAATTGGCAAGCGAAGAACGGCGAGCGGGCTGATAGTAGCTGAGTGGCGACGTGGACAGGGTACCGGGCCATCTCTCCGAGTTTTGTGCAGCACTCGCGTGCGCCATGGCGAAACCCATTGAGCCCTTGGCACCAAGCAGGCATGACGAGGTACTCGCAGCAGGAGTACCAAGTCCGCTAGACTGAGGTGTGAGGCGCGGAGTAGGCAGTAAGCCAAGGGCAGGTGCCAGCAGACCTGGTGTGTTGGAAACCTTTGGTGCTGGCTCCATGGTATATGGCACATCATAGCTTCTGGGAGTAGGGGTAGATTCGTTGGATTCGCTTCCGCAGACACGGCTCCGTTCCCGGGTTGCTGAAAGGAGAGAACGAGGCGACATGACACGGAAATCTCCAGTGGTAGATTTGCTCTTGGCCGAGACAATTCCACCAACATTGTCCAGCTCGGGAGTGAGCTGAAGTATAAGATTCTTCCAGTTCTGTACCTCGGCCTCGTGGGAGGGAGAGCTAATGCCACCGGGTGATGGAGGCTGTGATGGAGTATACTTGAGAACAATGTCAGTCCAACGCTGGAAGACATCATCAGTTATATGAAGCTTCCAGTTAACAGCCAACAGGAAAGCCATTTCGTTTTGATTAATTTCCTGGGTTGCGAGACCAGAAATCTTGCTCCAAGCACGCGCAGAGTAGTTGCGATCCTGCAAGTACTTTGAAGCCAAGATCAGGGCGGCCAAGAACATGCGACGCCCGCACTGCAGCGCGCGCCTGGCAAGAACGTCATCGGGCTGCTCCATGGTAAAGTCGTGCTTGGGAACATGCGGCTTGATCAAAACGAGGTAATACAATGCCACCTGCAGGGTAGAGTAGCTGGTGCGGGAGCGGCGCAGCGTTTCTTGAATGAAAGTGCGCAACGGCAGCACAGCTCGCTGACCCAATTCAGCGCGGCTAGGAATAGAAGACAGGGGCCAGATCGCTTCTACGATTTGAGTTGATGAATCTGTATTGTGAGGTTGAGCGGTTGCCGCTGGGCAGTCAGAGAGTCATCGTTTATGCTTACCGACGAGATTATCGACAAAGTTGACCTTGCGATCGCCTTGGCGGACCAAGGTGGGAGGGCATCCGGTCCTGGAAATCGAGCTGGCAGAAGTACGTCTGGGGTTCTGGCGCATATGTTGCGGCACCTGCTGGGCCGATCTTTGAGAATACGACTCGGTCCATTCGGAAGAGCTAAAGCGACTGCGGCAAGCATCCAACGAGTCCGAGGTGTAAGCGGAGATGGAAGTATCGTCGGATTGTTGAGAGGAGGCATCGGAGAAGATCGAGCTCGCAGAGGACGATGCCGTCGAAGCTAGGGAGGTGTTGTAGGGTCCATGGGAGTGGGTGACTGGCAGCGAGTCATCATTGCTGCGCAGCCTCATTTTCGTTTATGTGGTGGGAGAGAAGAGACTATATTAAGTTCTCAATATAAACCTCCAGTCGCCGCCGAATCGAGTCAACCGATAAGCTAATAGATCGTGAATATATTTAGTAGTCGAGATGGTTTCGCAACAGCATACGTGCGCTATTGCAAAACAAGAAAGTCGAGTAAGGAAGTAGGCTCTCTAGCAAAGAACCGACTTTTCACGAAGAATTAGACCGGAGGACGAGACAACGCGGGCGACTGGAGTGATAGTTGTAGAGTTCGCAAGAATCATTGTGTGGCTGTATGTTTCGATTAAAGAAACATGGATTGGGTAACTGGAGTGGAGGCTGCTAGATCAACATTGAGCTATCCGCCTACCAAACCATGTAATGTCGAGGTTGTAAGGTGAATTCGGTTGCGCGTATAATGAATGGTAGATAGGAGTGGAGATTTCTGAAAGTAAAGCTGTCGAATATGGTATTACACAAACTGGAACGGGTTCGGTATGTCGAGTTTTTTTTTGTTTTGCTTTGCTTTGCTAGCGAGGTCGATCGAATGAGTAGTAGTAGTCGGTCGAAGACACTAGGGAGATGTTGTTGCAATGCTTCAAACAGGCAGGCAGCGTCAGAGGGTAGGAAGATTATGCAAGGTACGAGCACTACAACCACCGTGATGCCTGTGAGAGCATATATGCAGCTGGGTGTGAAGGGGAGGAGAGAGGCTCTCTTAAGGGCCGGACTCGACGAGGCGAATCACTGGGCGGAGATGGCCTTTGGGTATGAGTCGTCTGTCGCGTGGTGGCCTGTACCAAGACAAGACAAGACGCAACAGGTAGGGTACCTAGGGGGGGCAAGGCAGGCGAACAAGGCCACACAAACAGGCAGGCAAGGGCCGAAGTCGTGTGAGAGTGGTGTGGCAGGGTACCGGGCCTTTGTTAGCAGGTCAGTCAGTCCCGTCAGTCAGCTCCCAGTCTCGGGGGGGGGATGATGACTATGACTCTTTCCTCCCTCCTGGTAGGTGGCGAAGGCTACCTAACCGACTAATCCCGCTGGGCTTGGTTGGCTGAAGTGGAGTAGGCAAAGTGTCTGCTTTTGGGCTGAGAGTCCCAGGATGGAGCCACAACAGACACGGCCAAGGGGGGGCGGATCCTGACCGATTTCAGGTTGCCAACTGGTCTTTGCTAGGTGTGAAGGGGCGACAACGGAGCTGAGAATAGGCCAAGTGTCTCGCAGGTGTCCACCAGAGAGGAAAAGAGGTAGTGAATGATGACTGATGGCTTGAATTGCTGGAAATGCCCGGAATGACTGACTGAATTGAACTCAGGATTTTGTCACACGCCGTGGCAGCCTGAAATGGTAGCTTTGTGCAAATCAAACCGTGGCAGGTGAACAAAGAAGGACTAGGGACGAGTGAAATGACTGATAATTAGGGAAAAAAGAGGATTGATGTTGGAATCTAGGCAGAACAACACAAACGACGACACGAAAAACCCGAGGAAGTCGCAATGCAATTTCTTCAACGTCGAGGAGAGAATTGGGGGGAAAAGGACTCCTTAAGGCTGATCCTGGCCGTGTGCGGAATTGTTTGTTCTTTGTGTAAAGAAAATAAAAGTGTTGAATGATCGGTCTACCAGTAAAGTAGTAGGTTGTGTCTTGGAAATTGGTACGAACAACGTGGTGATCGACGGCCAAAAAAAGAATATGAGAGGAGATGGTTGGTAATATCTTCCCGCTACTATCTTTGTCGCTGAGAGAACAAATCAATGTCACTACAGACGATATAGAGTTCACAGAGAAGACTCGAGTTGGGCAAACGTAATCAACTCAAAAAAGAGATATGAGATAGATGTAGTAGTAGTCGAATTCAAGCCGCCCAGTAGTAGTAGATGCAAGAGTAGACAGATTTGGGTGAGCATGTAAAATAGACACACGCACACGCCACAACGCTCTTTTCTTAGCACGCACTTTTTTTCGAAGCTGCTTCTGATGATGGATGGGGTGTATATCAAAGAGTAGTCAGATCGAGTTGGGGGGGAAACCTTAAAACCAAAGTAGCGCAAAGAATAACTGTAGTATATCGGAACTCTTTAGCACAACTTTCTTGTCGACAAGTTTGCCGTACTCTAGATCTTAGATTCGAACATGGTGGCGGCGTTGTTCGATTAGAGAGGAGAAACCGGGGGCGACACGGGCTGGGGGGAAGGACATCGGGCGAGTTTTGAATAATCGAGACATCCCATTTTTTTTCTTTCCTTCTTTGCTCTCTTCCTTGTCTGGGCATTGGACACCCAGCTACACACTAGGTATCGGAGTGGACCAGTCAAGTTCTGACGGTCAAATGGGAGGGGGCACCGGCAACAAGCCTGTGGAGGAGGGGGGGGCCAGTCATGATTGGACAAATGGGGATTTTGGTGCGCGTCTTGTCTGTCTGATCACTGGGTGTGAAGGAAGAGAGCTGTGATTTCTCGGGCCACCTAAGCACAAAACTGGACTGGAGCTGGTAAGAGCCAGCTAATTGTGCATACCGACTTTACATTAGCGAACCGGCAGGGGCTCAATCTGACCAACCAGCGACTTGACGGGCTAGGCGGAAATGCAGCCAGCGAACACTGTACATGGTGGTAATGACCAAGCCGTGATTGGACAGACTTGCTTGGGCGAGCTGGTAAAACTGTATCAATGAGAGACTATTCACTGTCCACTTGGCGGTTGGCGTCGACATTTTAGTGCATTTTATGTAAGGTTTCTGGAGGCTGGGGCAGCAGCGCGTACTACCTATGTACACCCACGATATACACAGTACAGCCACTCGGCTTTTCTCATGTTGAACCCCCCATGCATCGTCATCATCAAGTGCATCAAGTCTGTAGTATATACTACCACTGCATGACCACAGTAGTAGTAGTAGTAGCACTTGACATCCAGATGCGGCCTGGTAGCCCCGTCTTTACACACACTGCTGCTGGCCGCTGTGAAGCCATCGTCTATGCTCTTTTACCGCCCAATCTGTTTGGAGTCTTTCCACAGAGCCTCTGACTGCTGGAGTTCGGACAAGATACAGGCAATGTACCCATGTAATGAGAATAGTGCATCGTGCTTGCGCCGCTTATCAAGATGCACCTACCAAACCAAATGCACGGCATCCAAAAAAAGAGAACACTGGCAAGAGCCTCTCTGGTATTATTAGTTTATCCAAACAACAAATACAGATTTTGACAGAACAAATGGAAGGAGGAGGCAGTCGCAAACTCGCCGTACCCCCAATACTCGACATCAATCACACAAACCCCTACATCAAGTGGAACACACACTTGCAACAACCACGCATTTGTTTCTATCTACTATCATCAATGACTGAAAATGACCTTCATTTCATACCGAGAGATGCGGGTTTGGCTCGGCCAGTTGCAGACCTCGCATATACTTTTTTCTATTCAACGCCATGAGGGCCCGGAAATCTCAAGGTTCATAGCACTCCACTCCACACGTGGCTCTGTTTGCAGCCACAGCTAAATTGCATACAAAGCATACCTACTACGTATATCGTATTTCCACCATGCCCTTGTCTGCTACTCTCATGAGACTTGTGAGGGCAGGCAGGTCGCCCAGCAACCTGGCATAGCAAAGTTTGGGTCCATGAATATCTTCACCTTCCACTGAGTCAAGATTTTCGGAGCGGAAGATCAAATCGCGACAATGGCGAGGGCCCGACAGGCGGGAAGCCGGACAGTCATACGGCAGGTCTACTAGCTTAGACGCAGTAATCATGCTCGACATTACCAGTCTTGCCGGTCATTTCAGCGCAACAGCTGATGAGCCCACCTAGCTCCAGACTCATTTACCTCAGCAAATGAAACGATATTGGCTTTGCACCTACCACCATCGGAACATTCACAGTGATAGCAAATTGATGGGTTTCCGATCTTGCCTGGCCTCGATACATCTAGATTCGTGTTGGTTGCGCTCGGCTCCAACTCAATCTCCAAGGTTACTGCACTACAGGGAATGCGCCAAGTACTTGAAATCAACTTTGACTGCATACTACTATTGAGTACACGCACACACGGCACTGACGGTAAGCACCGAACCGTGCTCGTATTGCCGAGACGAGACGAGACGAGACCAAACCAGACCTGGCCACCAAAGTATTCGCAATCGCCATCGACCCCGCGATTTCATTCAACTGCCAGCTGTTCATCTTCCTTGTACCGAGTGAGCAGAGAGGCGATTTACAACGTAGGTATTGCGCTGTGGCTTTGTTTGCCCAGCGCTCCCGAAACTTTGAACAAGGGCACCACGCAAGAATCACGTATTCTTCTAGATTACAATCTCCCATTCGGAAATGTCCCCATCAATGCTTGCCACTGGACCCTGACATTCCTTCCGTTGCGTCGCCTTTCAGTTGAACAAGGGAAGGATGCGAACAAAAATCGTCGATGGGTTTTGAATCACAGCCGGCCTACGTATTCTTTGCGCGCGTCTTCTTCATGTCGACAAAAGCACACAGCCTGGCAGCTGGATTGCGCAGAGTTGCAATATGGAGCCAGCCTCCAACCAGAGCGTCAGGCACTGTTTCGTGGCATGTATGGTCCGTAGGCTGTGATCACCACCTACTGGGTGTACAAGGTAGCGTAGGTACTTGGCCATCTCCGGAGATGGGGTACTCCGCTAGTCGGCGGCGCCTCGGAATTGCGTCAGCTCATCTTAGAAGGCTACATTGTTGCGTGGCTCATCGCTGTATCGGCCGCATACTTGTTACGCAGCACTGACCCAGGCCAGGCCATCCAATTCCCTGAGATTGGCTGTCATTTTACGGGCGGGCGCTGCACGAAAGCATATGCTGCTACAATTCGTCAATGATACACTGCCTCAATACTGGACATCTCCAATGTAGGAATGTGCGCGCGACGGATGCATTCAAACGTGCTTCGCTTCCTGCATCTCTGGTCTATTCTACACGTGCTTGGACACCAAAATAAACCCAAAACGATCAAACGGGAGCCCACAGTAAGAGGGC